GTGCAGTCAATGCTATAATAGACAGAGTTATAGGAATCAAAACTGCTTGTTCATTAAATAGTATGTTATATTAATCCACCATACTGATCAAAAAGGCAGAATGATTGACACTGCATACTTTTAAAAGTTTACTGAGAATATGATTACTAGAAAACAAATATTCAAATTCTGAGGATTAAAATGAACATCATCCGCTCCCTAACTTGTCTTTCTAGAAAAATGTCTAATTAAATTTCAAAAGACAAATGATAACTGTCTTTTGGAGCCATTTCAAAATGTAAAACTGAATATTTGAATCGCCAGCTGATAAGATTCATAGGAGAGCCATTCCATAATAAAATAATTCCGAAAATCTTTCATTTTCCTAAACCTCAGTGAATCACTGGATCATAAATACATAATCGGTGAGTCAGGTTTAACCCAGTTGTCAGTAATATTTCATGGCAGCTTAAACAGAGGAAAGAGTGAGTGAACGTTATTCTGTGTCACCAGCTCTACAGCTATAGCACATGGCCTGTTGGTGCATGTGGAAACCAGTGGTTGAGAGCAAGAACAACCTTCATATGATTGTGAAACACACTACTCAAGGTCAATAACTATTACCACAAGATCCCCATTTCTGACGGCTTGAGTACTGGGCACTCTTCTACCCCACATAACTGAAACAAGACTACTTGTTGTAATACAGTCGTAGCATATAAAAAATTATCCCAGGGTTTAAAATTAAGTCCAACATGAAGAAGGGTTAGAATGGGTCTTCAGCAACCGATGCTTGTCAAGAGGCGACTACACTTGTCGTAAGAGGCGACTAATGGTTGACTTGGTTGACGCATGTCATCTTTGTACCCCAAATGCATAGATTGATGTTCATTGTACCCCAATGCATAGATCGACGTTTGTGATTGTAATCACTGGATTTTCTGGTCCAGACTTGATCATTTATAGACTGCTGTCGTATGGCTTCAGTATTGCTGAGTGTGTCATTAAAAACATTAAAAACAAAACAAAAATAAAGTGGGGTCAAGGGGGTCTTGACATTTGCTGCCCAGTGTTAGAAATTGGCCCAACAGTTAAGGTATCATAAGGACTAGTAGAAATTTCCATTTTTAAGGGTTTTGCTATATGTTATCATTATAAGGACTAGTGGACTAAAACATTTGGTTTCTTCTGCTGCTGCCATAATACTCTGAATCAAGGGACAGCCCTAAATCCTTGAACCCTAGGGTTGTGATAAGGACCCTACCTGCATGGTTAATACAGTATCAAAAGACAATAACTGGCAAGACTCAGCCTTCAGAAGAAAACAACATATGACGTGTTTTCTGGAAAACATACCAAATAGTGAGTACCACAATACATAATCAATGCCAAAACCTAAGACTACTAGCCCGAACTTTAATTTGTTTCAGAAGTTTCAGTTTTTGCAGTTTCAGATGTTGGTCTCAGCATAGGGGCCAGAATAGTGAATGAGTGAGTTTGGTTTTACCATGTTCACGCCGCTTTTAGCAATATTCCAGCAATATCACTGCAGGGGACACCGGATATGGGGTTCACACATTGTTCACACATTGTACCCACGTCAGGAATCGAACCCGGGTCCTTGGCTTGACAAGCAAATGCTTTAACCACTAGGCTACCCGACCGCCCCAGGGGCCAGAATAACATAGATAAGAGACATGAAGAAATCTTACAAGGCTCTAGTTTCAGACTAGCGCCTAAAATCACAGAGCGTCAATGATTGATGGGTAGAACTCAAGTTCCCAACGAATCATTAACGATCAAATTCCACACAACAAACATCCTGATTAAGTAAAGAGTAGAAACAGCAGAACTCTAATATTGTATATTTTTCCGTGGATCATTATGCCTCCAGTTATACGTGACACACTTGTGAAATGGCCACAATTGGCCAGTTTGGCCATGCTGACCAAAGGTCACCCTGTGTCATGCTGCCACTGTGACACATGATGTGACACTGATATGGAGATTATTCCAAGCCACATAGGATTGAGGTCAAATTGGCATGAAGAATCACTGCAGGGTAGGTCAATATTCCCAGCATTGATCTCGGTGATTGAACAACGTACACAATCTAAGACCACTCTATCTGTAGAAACTACCATGCCACACAAGCCAGAGACACATAAAAACATGCGACGTCACATCCATCTGATCACGCGCTGCCATTGATGTCTTATTCCCATTGGCGGTAATCCCTGTTAATATTCCTGTCATCTGTGGAGGTGTATGTAATGGCCTGTGTAGTAATAAATTCTTTGTATCTAAAACCTCAAAGGGCAGCTTCAGAGCGATAAAGACAAGTATGGATTCTGATCATTTCTTACATAATGTCAACATATTACAATCGTAAATTCACAAGTTTAAATACTGTACTAATATACATGAGTATGTAAGCATGGTTTCACAACACTTTTAGCAATATTTCAGCAATATTAATGTGGGGATACCAGAAATGATCTTCACTCATTGTACATTTTGGAATCAACCCAGGCTTTTGGCATGAGTGAGTGCCTTATCCACGAGGCTTACTAATCACCCCCAAATATGCATGAGGTATTACTAACAGCTCTGAAACAATACATTATTCATTATACAAGATGTATATATGTAATGGAAGTTGCAGCTATAGTATTTGAAAATAGGCACCACCAAAATCTTTAATTTCAACATTAATGTTAATGAGATGGACCCCTGGACAATCATGCTCAATCTGAGGCACGGTGTGATGTGGTCACTTGTTTATAATATGACGATGAAACGTACTCATAACAGTCACATACTGACAAGAATTCTTATTCTGATATCAAACAAATAAAGCGTTAAGATTTGACATCTAAAATACTATTTATTGAGACTGTTTCAGACAACATCAACACATGATTTGACTGAATACACAGCATTAGAGATTGGAACTAGTCCAAAAGTCCTTGCCAAACTGCCCAATAGTTATGGTATCATAAGGACTAGTAGATATTTGCTATTTTTAAGGATTGTGACATAGGTGCTAACTGTGAGGACATGTGGACTAAAAATGTTAGTTTCTAACGCTGATACTGACATGATGAAGCCAAAATGTCAAACACGAACAATTTATAGACCATCAGTAAATAATTACACCATTTGTAAACCTGTGTGTGTGTATCAGTGCAGATTGAAGTGTATCTTATTTCATATTGTTAAGTTCATTATCATTGTACATCTATGTATAATGTAGTAACTGGTCACTCGGGCTGCCAGATTTTTAAATCCCCCTGCCCGACGGTCGGGTTATATTTCATATGTGAAACTATTCTAAATATTTCCCGATGATAAGCATTAATTCACATGTAAAGATGAATGATAAAATGTAACCAAAAAGAAACCCTGTTAGCTTATCCTGAGAAACATATGATTATAGTGGGCAGGCAGGTTTTGGTCAGGGCTGGCAAGTATTTCAGCTAGCCAGTCCTGTGGTCTGGCTGAAATTTTTGGGAGTTTCATACCCTGTATATAAACATTTCAGGCTGTCAGCATAAACCACGAAATTTATCTTTCAACTGTTTTTTTTTCACCAAAATAATATTCTAATAAGAGACCCCTATATCTAATTTTGAGAGCCCCCTGGGCGCTTATTACGTTGAATATGGTATGTCTTATAACAGACCTGTCATAGCAAATAGAGACTACTCAGTGTTCGACATTACCCTGTGAAGATCCATGTTTGAATTGGTCTGTAGCAACCAATGCTTGTCGTAAGATGCGACAAACGGGATCTGGTGGTCAGGCTCACAGACTTGGTTGAAGCATGTCATCATACCCTAATTGCACAGATCAACTGGCTTCATTGGATTGTCAATGTAATTACAATTCAATGTCTGTTTGTGTCATATCAGTTTTATCAAACATTAATATCACCTATATGAGGTCAGGACACCTTGTGAAAAGTTAATTACATAATTTGTCTTGTAGTTAACAGCACCAGGAGCACCAATTTGTCAGGATTTGTGGACAATATTGAACTAAATCCATACAGTGTAATTATCCTTCATGTTAAGATCATATATCTCAATTATCTTTACCTTATACAACTAGGAAAAGGCTTCTCCAATTGTAGTGGATACCAATAAAAGTAATAAAACCATGGCATCTTGATATACTTCATCAAATTAACATGCCTTTTGAAAAGTCGATATTTCTTAAATAAATCATATATTTAAAGTTTGATAATCCAGTTCTTTAATACATGTGCAGAATTTAATATTAACATGATTAAGAATCTTAAAAACTTCTCTCTCTTACACATACAGTGATAAACATTTCTCTCTGACCAAACCACTATCAAAATAGTATCAAGCCAAGACATTTCCACCTGTGACAAAAATCTTTGGACTGCAGGTTGAAGAGCACTCACGTTAGTATTGAAAATTTGTCGGGTTAACTTTTCAAATGTATTGTGCATTTTCAAACAACTGAAAGTAAGGTGGTCATAAGACAAATGCTAAATAAAATGAAAGCTCCAAGGGGTACCATAAATACTATTTTAATATCTGTAACCCTGTTCAGTGGTCATAAGAAATTCATGACATTATTACATAACACTAGACACATGTTCCTCACTGTTTTTTGTGTAGGGCAGTTGGATAGACGAGTAGATACAGTGTTCGCTCGTCATGCAGAAGCCCCGGATCATTCCCCACATGGATACAAGTGTGAAAAACACCCACGACGTATCAGTTTCCAATCCTTCAATAAATATGGAACTGATCAACTGATTGCTGACATGTCTGGTGGGTAATTTCAGGAAGTGGCCATGATGACCAACATATCTGAATGAACCTGTTCAATAAAACTATTCCTAAATATTTGAAAACAAATCACTGGACTTTTCCTTAACAGCTCTGTTTCACTGATGACAATGTGGTATGTTGCTCTAAACTGGTTACGACATGAAGTGAAATAGTCTGAAATGTAATTCAATTCGATAAAATTCCAGTACTTACTCGAACGCAAAGAACAGTCCACTTGTGACGATGATTAAGGTGCAAGTCAAGTAGAAGATTCCAGTTTGTTTGGCCATCATGATTCTTCCGTTGCAGTGAAATTTATTTTTTCCTGGAAATACTTCCCATCTTCTCACTTTTTTCGCCATTTTATCCTTATCTTCGTCAATATGTTTTGACGGAGACTCTGTCGAAACAGCAGTATAAACGAGATGGTCTTTCATCAGTTGCAAACAGTGGTGTTCTATAGGGGAGAAAAACCCTCACTAAGGCCTGATGGACCATCACAGGGAAATCGGTAATGATCCTAATTCATCCTAAAATGTATCCAACGATCGAATTGTCTAATTTTCTACACAAATACCGCTAAATTCTACCTGTTTTTCATACACATTTGTCACCAAGACCTTTGTTGATCATAATGATCTCATGACGCATGCGTATTGCGATGACATATCCTATCGGTGTTGTTTCGTATTTAGAATTTTCTTTTTCACAAAATATTATTTAGATGTGTTCCAACATTTGTTTATTGTTAACGGTATGGTGAACGCGAAAGGAAACACATACTGTACATGTGCACGAATACTGTCAGTAATGAAATATATAATCGACCTTCACCTTGTTTGACCTTTGACATATGTGGTAAGCATGGCTCCCACTGAAAACAAGATTGATTCTGAAGACCGCTCAAGTGCACAAAAGGATACTACAAAACATGATAGCGTTGCATCTACCGGGACGCCGAAACTCATTGGTGCGTTAGTACACTTTGGTGTTAATCAACTACTCAGACATGAATATACAACGCGCGTGTGTGGACGGGCACCTGCTCGCTTGTCGTCAGTGTCACCTAAAATCGTGTGCTAATTCTATCACCTCGTATGTAATTAACCGATGATGATGTAATAAATCCGTTTATTGTGAGGTGTGTTAATTGGAATTAGCAATGGCCTTATCCCGACGAGATTGTTGTCACCCCATACAAGCCTTAATTTGTATTGATTTTACAAAATAGATGGCAGTGGTAGCATTGATTTGTTTTTTGGGAAATATGTTATGATTTTTCGCATGAGTAATTATCGTTATAGAATCTCGTTATTGGATCTTCAAATGTACTTTGAGAGCATATGAATTTTCATATTTACCCCAAATTGTATGGATGTGATTAGTCATATTTCTGCGCAGTATTACACAGAGAGAGAGAGAGAGAGAGAGAGTGAGTGAAAATTGATATGATGATTTATAATTATGAATAATGATATAGTTCATTTTGCATCATTATCATAAATAGACATGGTGCCCATAATCTGAGTTGTTGATGAGGGAAAGGCATTTTGATACCAACTTTTGACCATGAGAACACATATATATGAAGTATCAATGATAACAGATTGACATATGGAGTAATGTATACAAGTTTAAATGCAAAAGTCAATCTGTCTTCAGTGATATGTCTATGTTACTATTTTCATATAGATAACAAGCCATATTATGAACACACACAATGAATGATGGGCACCTTACCTTCCCAGTGTGCAGATTTTACAACACTTCACGTCTAGTTAATATTGTCTGTTAAAGGGGACCCAGAAATGTGTCTAGTTCAGAGTTTCTACTTCAGCAATTCTATTTATCAGAACTATAATTGTGATAAATATAGGACTTGGTCAGGACCCAATATCCAGTTACTGTCTTGCTAGTTAAGTAAACAAGGTTCGGAATTGAAGTTTTCAATGCATTGATAGGTTGATAAACTGTTACACTACTGTTACTGTTGCTAAAAATTGATGTTATGTATGTAAGGAAAGTTATATTTTGAAAGTTATTTTTTCTGTTAATTCAAAAATAAATATGATGCATTGATGACATCGGAAATATTTCTTTTTGAGTTTTTCTAAAGGCCACTGTATTGTAGCATATCATAATACTTTAAACAGACAAGATATCATGATACTTTGGTGACAGTATTTATATTCTTTTAGTTTATGTCTTATTATGGAATCAACTGACATGAGCCCAAAGTCTAATGTATAAAACAAACATAGTTTAAATTTGTTTCTTTGCCTAAATTGTCCACCTTTGATAGATGCGTGCGTGCGTGCGTAAAAAGGAGAGGTGTGTGTGTGTGTGTGTGTGTGTGTGTGTGTGTGTGTGTGTGTGTGTGTGTGTGTGTGTGTGTGTGTGGTGGGTGGGTGGGTGGGTATGTGTGTGTGGGTGTGTGGTTGTGGGTGTGTGTGGTTGTGGGTGTGTGTGTGGGTGTGTGGTAGCGGGAGGCAGAAAAACATTCCAGTGTGGTGTATTTAGGCCATGAGTTACTGTTACTTTTCGTATGGCTTAATGACTATCTTTTATGTGTTTCATTTCATGGCAAGTACATAAATTTATTTGTATTTCAAAATGATTAATATGAATCAAAGAATTGAAGTGTGATAATGGTTGTGGAAACATGACCTTGTTTGATGGTGTCCCGTATATCTGCCAGCATATTGGATGAAGGCGATAAAACTACCATAGTACTTTCCTACCTTCAAACATAGGTGTTGGCTTTGTGTCAAGTTATGATAAAATATTCCAAATAATTTAAAAGATAAAAACATCAGCTTTACTATTATTGAATTATTTATTAGCAAGTACATTTATAGAGGAAACTGACTTGATGGACTGGTTACCATTTCCGGCCTAAGTCAAACTGTTGTACTTAGGTTTGCCCTGATTATATGTCTAAGTTTGTCAGCGCCCTACCGAGGCTTGTGGGTTTCACCAGAGTGGTAAACATCTTGAGACCTGGTAGACACAATTTTATGGATAACAACTTCTTTAATACTGCAAAAAATGACATTTTGGGAAAGATCCTTATACAAAACAGTATAAGGATCTACAGTAAACTACGTTTATAATGAACACGCTTTTAACGAACTTATTTTTTAGTCCCAACCATTTTTTGTATAAATGCTGTATATATTCTAATAACGAACTACAGTTATTATGAACTAAAATTAGTGGTCCCTTTGAGTTTGTTATAACCGTAGTTTACTGTATACTGAAACGCCGCTTTTTACAGTATTAAAGAAGTTGTTATCCATAAAAATGTGTCCACCTTGTCATCTGTCAACTTCTAAGGAATGACTATCAATAATTTATCTAAAGACCTGCATCACTTCAGGCTTTCCTCCTACATCAAGCTGACACGATGTGATATGACTGGAATACTGTTAGATGCTGTATTTAACCCAACTCACTCCCACACTAAATGTTGTCATGTTGATGACTTGTGTCAATCTGAGACATTGTCTGTGAGACATAATTGGTGTTTTCATTACTGATAGATATACATCATTGAATTTAGGTTTACTGACAAAGTGGGTCTTGCAGGACTTTATTCAAACTTGCCAGACTTGAGAGTTGACCTGAGCCAAGTTCTCCTGTATATTATGTTGAATATGGTCTTGTTAATATTAGGGCAGATACAATACACCAACCATGTGATCCGATACGTTTCACGATACCTTGCCCACGATCTGAAACATCACGATACTTGCATGTGCTCTTATCTGTGGTGCGTAAGCCATCTTTTTCATAGACAGGATGGCCAGATACCTGGCCCACTGATGATTTACAGTTGGCAGTGTCAAGTATGGTGCATTGGATGAAAATTTATTTTTTTTCTTTGTGTGCGACTGTGATCGATACTTGTATCGAGAAGTAAAAAATCAAGATTCACCAATTCATCGGTGTATCGCCCCACTACTAGTCAATATGTCAAAACCATGTCTATATCGCATGTTTTGTCAGTATCATATCAATTTTGTATGAATATCGCATCAGTTTTATGTCATAATTGCACCTTCTTTTCAATATTACATCCAAATTATGTCAGTATTATCTAATTTTGTCAGTATCATGTCAATCTTGTATGAATATCGCTTTAGTTTTATGTCATAATTGCACCTTCTTTTCAATATTACATCAAAATTATGTCAGTATTATCTGATTTTGTCCATATCATGTCAATATTGTATGAATATCGCATCAATATCCACGACTCACCCACGTCTGCTGCATGCACACGAGCAGCCATCGGACAGGTGTGTCTATTCCAGCTCTAATCCATTACTCTCATGTGTTGCGTAACTTGTACATTCACACAGCCCCACATGTTCACAACACAAAACACAGCCTTCTCGGACCACCATAGACCGGTAACCTATTGGGAAATACTCCTCATTTCAAGTCCGCCCATTACGTTGACACGGAATCAAGTTCTAAGACACATGGCTTCAAACATAATGGGCACATTGGTAATTTAAATCATGCACCTGTCACACAGGTATGGCCAGTATTGAAATAAATGATCCTCATATAGAAACGTTTTGGATAAGCATGGATACACTGTCAACTGCAATGACTTGGCTATTGGCTGCCGTCACGCTTTCCTAGACGTGAGGACACTTCGTGACAGACAAATAAACCGACCACAGTGCGACACTCGAGTCTCCATGCTGTATTCTCGTATTCAATGGTTGTTTAAGCAACAGTGCAGTCATTACAAGGCAGAGAGACTAGGTGTTTAGAGGACAGTTAAATAGATCATGTCGTTGTGAGATCGTCCATGTACAAAGGATATTGGCTGTGTGTCCGTGTGTATTGTCTGGTGTGAAGTGTCAGGGCAGTATTTGGGGATCTTAGTGTTGTGTACTCTCAGAGCTGAAACACTTGCTGTATGTTAGCTGTGGAATTTACATATCAACATGTTACGTGAACCTGAACATGGAGAGAGTCGCTGCATGAAGTTTATTTGTTTTCTAGAAATAGAGTTAAGGGTATTGTCATATGCTTAGGCCAGACCATTGATCTGTTTGCTTACAATCTAGCCTAACCTAAATATTGCATATATAAAGTGACTTATTAGGGGGGGGGGGGATTAGGCTTTTTCAAACATCTATTTGTTTATATTTGTGTTAAAACCTTTTTTCAGAGTTATTTTATGGAACTTAAGCTTGAAGTACCCTTGACAACATTTTCTATTGTTTTTTCTTTTTTATCGCACTGTATTTTGCCAACATAAACCATAAAACGAGAAAATAATTTCTCCTGGCCTTATTTGATGTATAATGAAACAAATTCAGTGCACAGGTAGATAGAAGAATTCAAGAAAAGATGTGGATATTTAGTTCAGTGGGTTATGGGGCTGGAGGAGTGGAACATACCCTAGTTTCCATGTATGTCAGTCTAACCAGGTTCAAAGTCCCTCAGGTCAGCTTTGTTTGTTCAGTGAGGCCTGGCTGTCACTTGTACATGTGTATTGAGTTGGGGTGTTTGTGGATAGACAGAGCCTGCCATTTAGATTCACTGTTTGTAGGCAGACTGAGTCTGCCATTTAGATTCACTGTTTGTAGGCAGACTGAGCCTGCCATTTAGAAGTCAAGGTGGAAATTGGGTACTCAGAATTATCTGTGAGACAGGAAGATTGTGCTTAAAGCACAGGACATTCATGCATATTCATTGTCCAAACCACCCTTTGGCCCTTCAGCATCGGAGGGTGCAGCATAAATATGCATGAATTTTTGCTAAAAAAGGTCCTGAACTCTTAGAAGGATTAGAATCAGCCTATTTGGCAGTTCGAGCAAGCTTGATTCATTTATGCCCACTTTGCCAGTAAACCTAAGTTTTATATAAGTCTTGAAACGATTATCTAACAACACAGGGACAGTGTCTTGGTGTCACATTCAGTACAGCATCTTGACCTTGGCTTGGAATGGCCACCAGAATATGTCATGTCCGTTAGAAGGGAGATATTTTCAGTTAGCATGGCTGTTTGTAATATGTAAATTTATTTGTGTTAAAGGGACTAAGGACAAGGGTGGCCCAGTTGTTTTTGGCGCTGTAGTTCACCGTGGGCACCTGGTCATGGGGTTTAATCCCAGGTTTGCCCTGATTGTGTTTCTAGGTCTGTCAGCACCGTACTCCTGATGAGTTTCACCAAAGTGGTAAGCGTCTAATACCTTAATTCCTTAGGCTTTCCTCCCACAATATGATATACATGGTCTTTTAGTTTTATATGAGTGTACCTTTTTCCAATTTCCACATGTAAAATAATTTGCTCGATATTTCAAAAGTGTAAGAGTTTGAATCTTTTCAAATTGATGTCATCCTTATAAAAATCAGTGTAATAGATAGAACTTGGGTTTAACATTTACTCTTGCATACTTCTCAGAGGAAATTAAAGAACACAAAAAAAATTCTGTTCAGGTCAGGATGTCCTGGATTCATGTAAGATTAGTTTTTGGAATTGATTTTATCGTGGGTCATATATTGAATGTTTCCTGAAAACAAACCAAGATATAATAAAATGAAACTGCCTATGTTGATCACAAATTAAAGTCTTTGATGGGGACCCAGAAGTTGGAAGATCATGAATACATAATACATGACAATTTGGTATGGATAACAACAGCTTGTATTTTTCCTTGTAACAACGTTTCGGAGCTAGTTCTTGGCCCTTCATCAGGTGAATACTTAGTAAGCATAGAGAGTTAATATATATGGTCCCATAACAGTGTTATGTTCACACAAGGTAAGATTAATGTACAAAGATAGCAATATAATGATGAAGCCAGTGAGTTAAGTACAGTGAAGGTGTAGTGATTGGGGATGGTGGTAAGGTGTAGTGATTGGGGGTGGTGGTAAGGTGTAGTGATTGGGGATGGTGGTAAGGTGTGGTGATTGGGGATGATGGTAAGGTGTAGTGATTGGGGATGGTGGTAAGGTGTGGTGATTGGGGATGGTGGTAAGGTGTGGTGATTGGGGATGGTGGTAAGGTGTGGTGATTGGGGATGATGGTAAGGTGTAGTGATTGGGGATGGTGGTAAGGTGTAGTGATTGGGGATGGTGGTAAGGTGTGGTGATTGGGGATGGTGGTAAGGTGTAGTGATTGGGGATGGTGGTAAGGTGTAGTGATTGGGGGTGGTGGTAAGGTGTGGTGATTGGGGATGGTGGTAAGGTGTAGTGATTGGGGATGGTGGTAAGGTGTAGTGATTGGGGATGGTGGTAAGGTGTAGTGATTGGGGATGGTGGTAAGGTGTAGTGATTGGGGGTGGTGGTAAGGTGTAGTGATTGGGGATGGTGGTAAGGTGTAGTGATTGGGAATGGTGGTAAGGTGTAGTGATTGGGGGTGGTGGTAAGGTGTAGTGATTGGGGATGGTGGTAAGGTGTAGTGATTGGGAATGGTGGTAAGGTGTAGTGATTGGGGGTGGTGGTAAGGTGTAGTGATTGGGGATGGTGGTAAGGTGTAGTGATTGGGAATGGTGGTAAGGTGTAGTGATTGGGGATGGTGGTAAGGTGTAGTGATTGGGGATGGTGGTAAGGGGTAGTGATTGGGGATGGTGGTAAGGTGTGGTGATTGGGGGTGGTGGTAAGGTGTAGTGATTGGGGATGGTGGTAGGTGTAGTGATTGGGGATGGTGGTAAGGTGTGGTGATTGGGGATGGTGGTAGGTGTGGTGATTGGGGGTGGTGGTAAGGTGTAGTGATTGGGGATGGTGGTAAGGTGTGGTGATTGGGGATGGTGGTAAGGTGTGGTGATTGGGGATGGTGGTAAGGTGTGGTGATTGGGGGTGGTGGTAAGGTGTGGTGATTGGGGATGGTGGTAAGGTGTAGTGATTGGGGATGGTGGTAAGGTGTGGTGATTGGGGATGGTGGTAAGGTGTGGTGATTGGGGGTGGTGGTAAGGTGTGGTGATTGGGGATGGTGGTAAGGTGTGGTGATTGGGGGTGGTGGTAAGGTGTAGTGATTGGGGGTGGTGGTAAGGTGTAGTGATTGGGGATGGTGATAAGGTGTGGTGATTGGGGATGGTGGTAAGGTGTAGTGATTGGGGATGGTGATAAGGTGTGGTGATTGGGGATGGTGGTAAGGTGTGGTGATTGGGGATGGTGGTAAGGTGTGGTGATTGGGGATGGTGGTAAGGTGTAGTGATTGGGGATGGTGATAAGGTGTGGTGATTGGGGATGGTGGTAAGGTGTAGTGATTGGGGATGGTGGTAAGGTGTAGTGATTGGGGATGGTGATAAGGTGTGGTGATTGGGGATGGTGGTAAGGTGTAGTGATTGGGGATGGTGGTAAGGTGTAGTGATTGGGGATGGTGGTAAGGTGTAGTGATTGGGGATGGTGGTAAGGTGTGGTGATTGGGGGTGGTGGTAAGGTGTAGTGATTGGGGATGGTGATAAGGTGTGGTGATTGGGGATGGTGGTAAGGTGTAGTGATTGGGGATGGTGGTAAGGTGTGGTGATTGGGGATGGTGGTAAGGTGTGGTGATTGGGGGTGGTGGTAAGGTGTAGTGATTGGGGGTGGTGGTAAGGTGTAGTGATTGGGGGTGGTGGTAAGGTGTAGTGATTGGGGATGGTGGTAAGGTGTAGTGATTGGGGATGGTGGTAAGGGGTAGTGATTGGGGGTGGTGGTAAGGGGTAGTGATTGGGGGTGGTGGTAAGGTGTAGTGATTGGGGATGGTGGTAAGGTGTAGTGATTGGGGATGGTGATAAGGTGTGGTGATTGGGGATGGTGATAAGGTGTGGTGATTGGGGATGGTGATAAGGTGTGGTGATTGGGGATGGTGGTAAGGTGTAGTGATTGGGGATGGTGGTAAGGTGTAGTGATTGGGGATGGTGATAAGGTGTGGTGATTGGGGATGGTGATAAGGTGTGGTGATTGGGGATGGTGGTAAGGTGTAGTGATTGGGGATGGTGGTAAGGTGTGGTGATTGGGGATGGTGGTAAGGTGTGGTGATTGGGGATGGTGGTAAGGTGTGGTGATTGGGGATGGTGGTAGGTGTAGTGATTGGGGATGGTGGTAAGGTGTGGTGATTGGGGGTGGTGATAAGGTGTAGTGATTGGGGGTGGTGGTAAGGTGTAGTGATTGGGGATGGTGGTAAGGTGTGGTGATTGGGGATGGTGGTAAGGTGTGGTGATTGGGGATGGTGGTAAGGTGTAGTGATTGGGGATGGTGGTAAGGTGTGGTGATTGGGGATGATGGTAAGGTGTAGTGATTGGGGATGGTGGTAAGGTGTAGTGATTGGGAATGGTGGTAAGATGTAGTGATTGGGGATGGTGGTAAGGTGTGGTGATTGGGGATGGTGGTAAGGTGTGGTGATTGGGGATGGTGGTAAGGTGTAATGATTGGGGATGGTGGTAAGGTGTAGTGATTGGGAATGGTGGTAAGGTGTGGTGATTGGGGATGGTGGTAAGGTGTGGTGATTGGGGATGGTGGTAAGGGGTAGTGATTGAGGATGGTGGTAAGGGGTAGTGATTGAGGATGGTGGTAAGGGGTAGTGATTGGGGATGGTGATAAGGTGTGGTGATTGGGGATGGTGGTAAGGGATGGTGATCATATGGCCATGTGTGCTGGTATGTATATAATCAACTCTATATGATTATCCGTAAAAAGTGTCATGCATTCAGGTGATGCTTTATTATAAGTTTGGGTTTGCCTCTTTCTCTCCCCCCCCCCCCTCCCTAGCACACACACACATACACACACACAGGGATGGAATGGAATAATGCCAATACTAACTGCATACTGCGCCATTCATTCACTCACTTGTAGAGATTATATGCAGCAAAATGTCTGATTTATTCTGAACTTTGAACTAAATCTCTTGCATCAGGAATCTTAAATGATGATCTTGCATTGATTTTCTTTGTACGATATGACAGAAAGTGATATACCACATGTGTAATATACTCAATAACGCTCTCCCAGTGCAGGGTGAATGAACAGTGTAACAGAGATATACTCACCCATATTATCACACGGTATGACATATATGTCACCCATTGAATCCAATAATTCAAATAATTAACACAACGTCTCCAAAATACGAATCACAACATGTCCAGCGATGTTGACGTGAAGCAGGTGGGGTGGAGCCATTCTTTGAGAATTAATGTCCATTCAAGTTACCACCTTAAAGCTGCTTACCTCCCTTGCGACGTAGGCTAAGTAATTAGACATTAGGCAGTTGGAACAAGAAGCACAATGGCATTACAACACAATGTATACACCCCAGGTATTGTGTCTACAGGCTCATGCGTATACACCAGTGTCACAAGGGAGTGTCACATCTATACAGGTTTGGAGCGTCGCATAAGTTTGTAGCGAGGAAGTATTGTCATAATGACATTTATGACATTGCAACCTTGAGCTGTGTGAGGGTTTGTTTCAAAACTTGGACTATTAATTGGATTGTAGGTTGGAATAGTTTTTGTCTGTGTTGATTTTGTGATATGGCAGGAACATTGTTGACTGGCTTAATACAATTCTGTGTAGACAAGCCTTGTGGTTCAGGGGGCGGTCGGGTAGCCTAGTGGTTAAAGCGTTCGCTCGTCACGCCGAAGACCCGGGTTCGATTCCCGACATGGGTACAATGTGTGAAGCCCATTTCTGGTGTCCCCCGCCGTGATATTGCTGGAATATTGCTAAAAGCGGCGTAAAACCATACTCACTCACTCACTCACTTGTGGTTCAGTGACATGCATGTCATCCTTGAAATAGGTTTCATTCAGTTTGGCTTAGTTTGCATTTTAGCCTGTAATACTTGGTTTGCTGATCCAATGACCCTACATTCATCACCCAAAGTAAATACTAGTGTAGTTGGCATTAACCAATACCTGGGGGGCCTGTAATAAAATAAAGCAATAATTGTTACCAATGCTAACAAGTTCCGGAATTATACTACTCAACTTTTGGAAGGGATATTTTTTTTGTATTTTCTTGATTCTCCCACTTATAGTGTCATTACTGGATATGTGGAAGTAGTAGTATAAAGTGTCATTATCAAAAGTTGAGTGGTATATTTCTTTGATAGTTACAGTTGTCATTATTTTACTCTTTTTAACATATCAACTCTACTATTTATTGGCTGTTTAAAATATTATTATGGTCTTAAGTTTACTTTTGAGATGCCCCCTCTGGCCTGAAGTACGAAGCTGTGAGAGAATGGTTTGTTCTATAATCCTGTGTATTAAGGATTAGGGAGAGTGGCCAACTCAGGTCGTGTGGTTTAATCTCTTAATGAGGAAGTTTATTTGCATAAGTGATCATTAGGTAAGTGGTTGATAATTGTTTACTTCCAGCAACTCGTATTTCCAATGCTGCAAATATCAATCTAGACAAAAGAGGATAAGAGTGGGAGAGTAGTGGGCCTGAGTGATGATGGAAATATATCTACTGGAGGACTGAATGGGAAAAAAAGGACATGTTTCACTGACTGATGTAATTGCCTTTTAACACCGCACTCAGCAATATTCCAGCTATATGACGGCGAGTCTGAACCAGACAATCCAGTGATTGACATCATGAGCATCAGTCTACACAATTGGTATATGATGACATGCATCAACCAAGTCAGAGAGTCTAACCACCCAAGTCTGTTAGTTGTCTCTTACAACAAGCATAGTCGCCTTTTAATGCAAGCATGGGTTGCTGAAGACCTATTCTACCCCGGATGAAACAAGACATGAACTTCACATATGCTGGTTCATATTACGTGAGCCATCACCGGGTCCGAAGCCTGAGCATTATCAAGTTGGTACCACACACACCAGTGAAGGATGTCATGAGCATCCCATACAGTTGGAGTACGAGACACACTGATGGCGGATCACCCAAACCCATACACAGTGCTGGAATTAGCTTGGGTATTCGTTTAGAAACCAGAAAAGAATCAGGGCTACCTCCTTTCTAAACAATATCCTGGTTAAAGCGCTCGGGTTCCAGTTCCGACATGGGTACATGTAAATCCCATGTCTAGTGACCCCTCAAATATTGCCGTGATATTGCTGCAGTACTTTTAAAATTGCCATAAAACCATGCTCGCTCGCTGGCTGGCTCACTCACTCACTCACTCACTCACTCACTCACTCACTCACTCACTCACTCACTCACTCACTCACTCACTCACTCACTCACTCACTCACTCCTTATGACATCCCAAGCAAGCAGATCGATGACTATAAGACTATTACAATACATGTAACACTTGTACCTATATTGCAGTAGTATCACAACAGTGTTAAAACTAGGCCAGCACTATGGAACAATGTCCTCTATTGTTCCCCCTAATCAATAGCCCATCATGTCTGTTATCAGGGGGAGTATTCCTGGCTGCGGTGGCGGGTCTGTCCATACTGGGAGGGTTCGGGATGACGGTTGCCATGGCAAAGAAGAAAGATCCCAATATGTTCAATAAGGTAAGTGCCACGCCCATTGTCCTACCTTCATTGTGCTCCATGGTTGTGCTACTGCGGACACAGGGGGTGCAAGCATTGAAACTGATTTAAGTGCTTGAGAAGTAGGTGATGATTATAGCTGATAGAGGAGTGTTCAGGGCATGAAGAGAATAGTGGAATGTTTCCATGCAGATCTATAATTATAGCTAATAGTTGAGCTTTTCGGTTTTTTTAGCTCATAGTGAAGAGTTTTAATTATAATTAAAACTTTCAGGGTATTATACCTCATAGTGAAGCATTTCAGGGCATTATACCTCATAGTGAAGCATTTCAGGGCATTATACCTCATAGTGAAGCATTTCAGGGTATTATATCTCATAGCGAAACATTTCAGGTCATACCTTATAGTGTAGCATTTCAGGGCATTATACCTCATAGTGAAGCATTTCAGGGCATTATACCTCATAGTGAAGCATTTCAGGGTATTATATCTCATAGCGAAACATTTCAGGTCATACCTTATAGTGTAGCATTTCAGGGCATTATACCTCATAGTGAAGTATTTCAGGTCACTATAGCTCATACCGAACGTTTCAGGGTGTTATAACTCATAGTGAATTGTTTCAAGACATTAAACCTCATAGTGAAGTGTTTCAGGTCAATATAGCTCATAGTGAATGTTTCAGGGTGTTTTAACTCATAGTGAAGTGTTTCAGGTCACTATAGCTCATAGTGAATGTTTCACTACTCATAGTGCTGCGATATAACTGGAATACTGTTAAAAGTGGCGATAAACCCAACTCACTCACTCACTACTCATAGTGAGCCCATCTCAGGGCATTATAGCTCATGGTGAAGTGTTTCAGGTCACTATAGCTCATAGTGAATGTTTCACTACTCATAGTGCTGCGATATAACTGGAATACTGTTAAAAGTGGCGATAAACCCAACTACTCACTCACTCACTACTCATAGTGAGCCCGTCTCAGGGCATTATAGCTCATGGTGAAGTGTTTCAGGTCACTATAGCTCATAGTGAATGTTTCAAGACAATATACCTCATAGTGAAGTGTTTCAGGTCACTATAGCTCATAGTGAACGTTTCAGGGTGTTATAACTCATAGTGAAGTGTTTCAAGACATTATACCTCATAGTGAAGTGTTTCAGGTCACTATAGCTCATAGTGAATGTTTCAGGACTCATAGTAAGTGTTTCCAGGCATTATACCTCATAGTGAAGTGTTTCAGAGCATTATACCTCATAGTGAAGTGTTTCAGGGCATTATACCTCATAGTGAATGTTTCAGGGTGTTATAACTCATAGTGGATTTGATGTTTCAGGGCATGATAGCGACTCGTGAGCTCCCAGAGAGTGGAGGATCGCTGGCTGCGCGGGCGCTGGGGTGGGGGAGCCTCTACTCCGTGACGGGGGTGGGGCTGCTCTGCTTCACCGTCTGGAAGCTCATGGGGGTACACAACGTAAGTACTGGCATCCACACAACTGTCACAACAATATGAATTGTCATTTGAACACAGTTTTACTTGCACTAGATTTGTACAAGCGTGCTAAAATATGTTTAATGGAACATTTCAGGAAGTGAATAATTAAGAATAACTGTAATGTCTACCCTGCAGGGGACACAGTGCTAATTCAAACAGTTTGGGATTGACCTTCAAACAAGTACAGGTTCAGTGTGTATGAAAACAATTCATGACTTTATTGCGGTTCATTATTTCTCATTACAGATGAAAGAATTCACGGCGAAGATGCAGTCAATAATGCCTAAAATTCCCAAGAAAGAAAGTCAAGGTCGAAGTGAATTCAATTCCATAAGAGAACTATTTGAATATCTCATTGATGAAGATAAGAAATCAGACAAGAAATCCTAGCACACTGATATGGTGGACATCACGGTGACAGGAACCCACTGGAGGGGTCAAACAGCCTGGGTCAGCTCTCAACATGTGGTCTGTCCTGCGATAGTTGACACATCTGTTTGAGAGGGCTTATCTTGACAAATGTCAAATCAGTGAGTGAAATGGAAATTATCTGGAAGCACTCATAAACTCTCACTCAGGTCAGTCAGTTGTAAAGGGCTGTGGGGTAGCCTTGTGGTTAAAGTGTTCTCTCATCACACTGAAGTCATGGTTCGATTCCCAACAATGTGTGAAGCCCATTTCTGGTGTCCCCGCTGTGATATTACTGGAATATTGCTAGAAGCAGCGTAAAACCAAACTCACTCAGACAGTTGTGAGGACATGAGTATACAGAATAAGGAATTCACCATGTCAATCAGGCCATATGATCGACCAATGAGAAGTCAGAATCAGAATCGGCCATTTTGTCCGACAACTTCAAACCTGTCAGTTTTTTTCTGTCAGGAAAATAGTATAGTTTTTACTCCATTTTTTGAACAGCACAAATACTTATGATATGTTTGTTGGTTGGTTGTTGAACACCGCACTGTGAATAGTCGTGTCCAGTGAACATCGATCTACGCAATTGGGATACAGTGTCCCATGATATGTAGATCTAAAACTTTTGAGGAATTACAAAACATGAAACACGGACACTAGCTGGATATTAGTTTAAATGTATCTAGAAACCTGTGAAGATCCAGGGTAGAATAGATCTTCAGCAACCCATGCGTTTTGTAAAAGGCGGAAACTGGTGGTCAGGCTCGCTTACTTGGTTCATGCATATCATCGTATCCCAATTGCATAGATCGATGCTCATTATGTCAAGCACTGAAATGTCTGGTCCAGACTCGATTATTTACAGACCGCCATCATATGGCTGGAATGTTGCTGAGTGCGGTGTTAAACAACAAACAACAACATGTGTCTAGAACTGTTGATACACACAGTAAAGAGCAACATGGTCACTCATGGAAAAGAACATCGCTGACATGTTTTGTTTGTTTGTTTGTTTGTTTAACGCCGCACTCGGCAATATTCCAACTAAAAAGACAGCGGTCTGTACGTAATCGAGTCTGGACCAGACAATCCAGTGATTGACATCATGAGCATCGATGCACACAACTGGGATATGATGACATGCCACAACCAAGTCAGCGAGCCTGACCACCCGATCCCATTAGTCGCCTCTTAAGACAAGCTTAGTCGCCTTTTACGCAAGCATGGGTTGCTGAAGACCTATCCTACGCCGGATCTTCACGGGTCATCGCCGACATGTAACATGAACTATTATTAGAATCATACAGGTTTCAAAATGTTGATAACTTCTCGCCTGAAGTTTCAGGTTGGCAGAAAACAGTTTTTCTATTTTTTTGGAGTTGTTGGATTTAAACCAAGTTTTAGGAAAAGTCTTCACTCAGTGCATGGTGTGACATACATGTGTGCAGTGTGTGTGTTGATGAGATGGACATGCACACACAGTACAAGGATTATATATGGCAAGGATAATTCCATGTCCTGAACATCTCTGGAGTTGGTATGTGAATTGTTAACTTGTCAAAATAATATCATTCTAGTAATAGAAATAAACTATTTTTGTACATGTAGTCTCCTGTTATTGTGTCCTTCCGTGCCTGGTGTTCTTCTCATGACCATCGTCAGTATTTGACTGGTTTGTATACACTACATTCTCCATTGCCCAGAAAACATACAGTTATCTGTTGTCATGCATGGCTGGTTTAAGTCAAGCTCTGAAATAAGGAAGTGCATATCTTGCAGAAGTCAAATGAGCACTAACCATGCATGAACTGTGTGCAATGTTGATGGCCAGAAGTTTGCAGCATGTTGCATGAGATATTGGCGATGAAATCTGGGCACTCTTTGGACTGCGTACTCACTGGAGCCAGGGGGGGGGGGGGGGGGGGGGGGGGGGGGGACAACCAACACTGCACTTTGTTCCTGAAATCACATGGTGCTTGGACATCTTGCTTACATATATCTTATCAGGCATTTCTTCATTATAGCCCTTGGAATCATTTTGACACATTCATAGGTCATGCCAAGGGTCAAGGTTATCCTCAAGGTCATAGCTGCCACCCCCCCCTCACCCTTACTGGTTAACTGTTTATGATCAAGCATGGCTGAAACGGAGGGTCAAGGTCATTAAACCGAAAGTGCATAACACTTTATTATCCCCCGCCGCGCGAAAGCGCGAAGCGGGGGATATAGTATTCACGACCGTCCGTACGTCCGTCCGTACGTCCCACCTGTTTGTTGCCGCGTTATCTCAAGAACTAAACACTGGATTGTCTTCATATTTGGAACTATGGTGTATATACAAACTCCGCAGACACCAGTCGGTTTTGGTGACCTTGACCCCATTTTCAAGGTCACAGCAGGCATATCTGCTTTTGGAGTTGGAAAACGGTGTTGCCGTGATATCTCAAGAACTAATTGCTGGATTGTCTTCATATTTGGAACTATGGTGTATATACAGACTCCGCAGACACCAGTCGGTTTTGGTGACCTTGATCCCATTTTCAAGGTCACAGCAGACAAATCTGCTTTTAGAGTTGGAAAACGGTGTTGCCGCGATATCTCAAGAACTAAACACTGGATTGTCTTCATATTTGGAACTATGGTGTATATACAGACTCCGCAGACACCAGTCGGTTTTGGTGACCATGATCCCATTTTCAAGGTCACAGCAGACAAATCTGCTTTTAGAGTTGGAAAACGGTGTTGCTGCGATATCCCAAGAACTAAACACTGGATTGTCTTCATATTTGGAACTATGGTGTATATACAGACACCGCAGACACCAGTCGGTTTTGGTGACCTTGACCCCATTTTCAAGGTCACAGCAGGCAAATCTGCTTTTGGAGTTGGAAAACGGTGTTGCCGCGATATCTCAAGAACTAAACACTGGATTGTCTTCATATTTGGAACTATGGTGTATATACAGACTCCGCAGACACCAGTCGGTTTTGGTGACCTTGATCCCATTTTCAAGGTCACAGCAGGCAAATCTGCTTTTGGAGTTGGAAAACGGTGTTGCCGCGATATCTCAAGAACTAATCGCTGGATTGTCTTCATATTTGGAACTATGGTGTATATACAGACACCGCATACACCTGTCAGATTTGGTGACCTTGACCCCATTTTCAAGGTCACAGCAGGCAAATCTGTTTTTGGAGTTGGAAAACGGTGTTGCCACAATATCTCAAGAACTAATCGCTGGATTGTCTTCATATTTGGTACTATGGTGTATATACAGGCGGGGGATATTTCGTCACTCTGTGACAAATACTTGTTAATGTAGCTACAGACTTAAGACTTCCTAGTCTTTGAAGGGCATTTAGAAGTGATATGCATATGACTATGCATAGTCTCGTTAGTCCAGCCAAAATGTAACTCAATAATACCAGCCTAGTTCGGCAAGGGTGGAAACAGGACTTTTATAGTCTGCTAACTCCCTTGCCTCTAGAAGATGGAAGTGATGTAAAACTGGAAGTGTTTACTGTGTAGAAGCTAGGGGCCCAGGCCCAGGTTGTACTGCACTTGATCACATCAGAGATGGAAGATGAATATAGGTATTATAGAAGGTGAGGTTAGCTGTCGCCTTATTCTGTAAAGTCAACTTGGTTTTGATACAGGTTTCTGATGATGCCCAGACCACCTTTAAACAGCGTCAGCTATTTATTGAAATGCTGACGTCTGTTCATCTTGTTAACCTTTCATAATTGTAAAAAGAAACACATGAAAATCAATCTTGAAATTATTGTTCATGATGAATGAGGCAAGTGAAATACCTGATATCAATCTGGCACCAGTAATGGCACTGCTGATGATGATGGCATATCATATTCTCGACCGAAATAACGTTAATGAACTGAACTAGTTGTGGAACAAACATTTATTATATTTGCTAAAACTAATAAACCTATAAAAAACAATATTCTGACATTCATTGTCCTTCACTAATTACTTTTGTACATGATGAATGTGTGCAGAACAATTAGCAAAGAAATCATTTGTCAATATATTTTGTATTTTTCTATTTTGGGGGCATATTTCTGTACTACCTGCAAGTCAATTTTGAAACTAGTAAATGTCTCGTATAAAGATGGTCAGTGTGCAGAGTTGCCTCCCCTGGCTGTCACAATCTGTTGGGAGTTCAAATCCCAGATTACGTTCCTTGGTTTGTCTGCACCATGCCCCTGCTTGTTTCACAAAATTGTTAACCTCCGAGTATCCTTCGTCATTCAGATGACCTGCAGTGATGCGAGGGATGACCTGCAGTGATACGAGGGATGAAAAGCTCTGAGCTCAACTAAGAAGGATGTATTGAACACCCTTAAACACAAAACCGCCTCCGTGGTCTAGTGGTAGAGTGTCCGCCCGGAGAGCGGAAGGTCTGGGGTTCGATCCCCGGCCACGTCATACCATAAGACGTTAAAAGGTGGTACTTGTTGTTACCCTTCTGGCGCTCGGCATTAAGGGGCTAAAACAAGGACTGGTCAGCTCGGAGTCAGTATACTGTGTCTGAGTGGGGTATTCATGTTAAACTGCAGCATGGTATCTCAGTGGGCTAGCACTATAAATCAGCATCAGTCTGGACTAGTACAAGCAGCCACACACACACACACGTACATGCACGTCGCTATATAAGTGCAATAATCTTGGACGCGACGTTAAACCCCATTTCACCTGACCTCACCTTAAACACAACGATACACAAATAACAACACAACACTTTTAAATGTAATTTATATTTCATTTGTTATAAGTATATTGCATTTCTAGCTTAACATCTGAACAGAATCTGTGTATTACAAAATATTTGTACATATTGACAGACAGAATACGATCCGTTGTATGCTTACGATTCTCCCCGACATGAATCATCTGTTTGAGTATGATAATAAAGACCAAATGTCAGTCCGTAGTCTACACAATACTTATAAAGTGTCAGTCTGTACTCTTCATAATACTAACAAAGTATCAGACTGTGCTATATACAATACTAAGTGTACGGTGCCATTTCACCGGACATTTTTACACTTCCTGTCTGCAAATGTCACAGTGCCCTCTCGGAGGACATGTCTCGTCATCACTGTACACATGTACACTATAAACATTCCGTATTAAGTACAAACTAAACAATTATCACAGTGTGGCGGTAGGACATGAATAATCGCAAACTGACCTCAAATTCAGCTTCAATTCAGGGTTTCACAAAACAATCTTAGCTAAGTTTATGATAAGGTGTGAGAGCTGTGACGTGTGTAGCATATAACTAAGGTGTGGGAGCTGTGACGTGTCTAGCATATAACTAAGACTGATTGGTGGCACCTATGACTGAACTAAGGATGTGTTGGCCCCTCCCTGTTCTGTTGTGTGTTTCTCAGTCCAGAAGTAAAAGAAAGAGGAGCTTTTTATATCTACCCTCTTGCAAACTAAACATATATACATAACTGAATAAATTTCCTGTTTCATTAAATAATCCTTGCTGGTTCCGAAGATCTATGAAGAAGTGAAATACAGCTGATTGCATTGTATAAGTTTAAAATTTCTACTTTTTAAGTCTTTTAAGATCTTAACACTGATCCAGAAACTGTTGCACTACAAACAGAGCAGAACAGCAATGTTGCGAGTTTATAAGCACATGCAATTTTGAAAAGCTCCTTGGGTCAAGATTAATATCGTGAAACCATTTTGCATATATCTTCTTATATGGGAGACATTATCAGCTCAACTAAGGGCATTTAAAAAAAAGAGTTGAGTTTTCTTTTAACCAACCACTTGGAGACAACCACAAGACAACAGGGATGACTTTATTTTCAGGCGACTTAAAGGGGGCCAGTGCTTAACACATCCTTAACTCAGTGTAGTGTATGGACCCTGGTGGGAATGACACATGCATAACTGTCAACATGAATCTATGAGGCTAAAAAATAATAGTCTTGGTTCTCAGGCACCGCTCACATCGTCATAAAGTCTGTCACCCTTTTTTTTTATTATTTCCATTTAAAAAAAAGAAAGAAAAAAGAATACTTAAAAACAACGCGATCCAATATGGCTTTCATTTACATGGGCAATGCTTTACTGCAAGTCTCATGTATGATCAAAGTAGCAATAATAGTTTGTATGCTTGTTAAAGTAGGGAGGCTTTCCCAGGTTGATGGTACACAACTGTTTATTTGGTTACATACCAGTTTGAACAAGCAAAAAAAACCGACCCACACATACTATATTTTCAAAAGTCATTGCCTGCGAACCAATTCTTTTCTTTTTTTTAAGCCTAATCATGACAATTGTAGCATTATTATTGCTTTGATTAACAGCACCCTGTGCTCCTTTTCACAAAGTGATCGTAGCGCTTCGACCTTCGTAACTTTATACATTATCAGACTTACTAAGTCAGAGCAAAATGATCAAAATGAAAATAGGGCCGAGTTCTCAAAGCAACGTGTAACACCCATGAAGGCTGCTTCTTGTGACAAAGAGAAGCTACATGACAAAATTTATCATTAGTCGCAACTTCAAACAATAAAGATTAGTTTATATTTGCACCATGTAAACAGTTTGATGACAAGGTGTATCAAGACAACACAATCAAGGTAGTGAGGGTGCTTTGAGAACGTGGCCATGGGGGGGTTTGTTGAAGGTTTTGTCTCTGCACGGCAGGAAATCATCCAAGCAATATTCAGGCGAGTCCAACAGCTAATGAGCAATGAGCATTATTATCAATGTAGAACTACAACAATGAAGGTTTGACTGTATGTACATCTTGCCTAAAACCAAACTTCATATTCTCAACCACATAATTGTTTGGAAGACCCCCACGCAGAACCAGGAGGAAACCCACACAAACTGTGAAACCAGCAGATACTAGGTAGGTATAACTTATACAAACATTCATTCAGGAAAAAGTAAAAACAACATGGGCTCATATGCACTCAGCAGCGAAACACAAACAGAAGCAGGGATGAGAATAGGTTTTTTTTAATGGGGGCCTAGGGTACTGTATGATTTAGGGGTATATTGTTATGTATCACAAAAGTGACTTTTGACCTAATAAAATCAGCAAAATTCCACAGATCTGCAGAAAATTCTCATCCCTGAAGATGTGACACCACTGAGCCTGCCATCTATGAGAACTGACTTCAGCAGTAGACAAACACTAAAGTCCATGCAGGCTCCAGAGCCACAGATAAATCACTGGTTGCTGTGAGTTGCTACACATTAAGTGTTAGAATAAACAATCTCCACACCTTGTATGGAAAACATTCACCAATTTCTAAACAAGGAGACTGACATGTCATATTTTCCAGTCAGAACCTTCTTGCTTTTAAAACACAACAGTACAGGAATCTGTCTAGAGGGCCAGAGTATTCGTCAAACCTGCTGCCGTAACACTGGGCAAACCATAGAGATTATTGGTTGGTTGGAATGGTCAAATTTCAACAAAAATGCAATTTTTCAATACAGTTTGTGTATTAAGTGAGTGAGTGAGTGAGTGAGTTGGGTTTAATGCCGCTTTTAACAGTATTCCAGTCATATCACAGCGTGTCAGCTTAATGTGGGAGGGAACACCGAAGTGATGCAGGTCTCAGATGTTTCCCACTTTGGAGAAACCAATGATCATGGGTAATGGTGCTGACAAACCTAGAAACATAATCAGGGCGAACTGGGATTCAAATTTCTGATGTGCCCTAGGGAAGCAACGCTGCACAGCAAATTGTGGCGCTTTAGATGACTGGGCTGCCGGTGCCCCTTGTGTACCAATAGAAACCGGCGCCATACACCTGGAGTGATTCCAGGTTTCGGGTCCTTCAGTATCATCAGAACGTGTGGAGGGAAGCGGTACACTGACGGCCTGTACAACTTGATTAATAACGAAGGATATATTAAACAATGATGTCATTCGCCTTGGCTGGAATTGATGATTTTATCACAATAATCATTATGCATAAGGTATGGAACAGTGTAATGTCAATCTGTGACCAAATGTCATTCACAATTTATGAAAATAATAATAACATTCAATCTCATTAAAATCAGATCTTAGTTCTCACTACCGCTATTAAAACAAAGATCTGAGGACATCCCATTACGGGTCTCGTCAGACCAAACTTTCGCAGACTTTTACCGACCAATGGAATAACTAACAAGAAGTCGGCAATAGCCAATCAAAAGGCAGCTTAATCGAGCTTTACGGCACGAGTTTTAAACTGGCCACTACGCTTTGAAAAATATTTTGACATATACTTGATTAAAAACTGAAAAACTGAACAAAAGAACATTCTGGAATGGCTAATGGATTGATTGTATGAATACAAACATAAAGCCCATAACTGTTGTTCTGAATACCCTGTGTGTGTGTTGTTTTTTTGAGGTTTCATGATAAAAAAATCACTTTCCAACTGTCACTTTCATGATCTGCTAAGCAATTGATTGCTCTGATTGATCAGATGAAAGGTCGTTCTGACATGACCCGTAATGGGATGTCCTCAGATCTTTGTTTAGAGGTAGTGAGAACCAAGATCTGATTTTAATGAGACTGAATAACATTTAAGGCTAATCAAACATGGCATCAAAATAGAAAGATATTCTACACATGTACTTCACAGACATAAACTGGTTTGGACGGTTGTTGATATAATCATACATTGGTATGTCACAAATACAACACATTTCCATTTTTGGAAAGGCATCCATATTATTTAGTGATTCCTCTCCAGTGTCAACTTCAGGGGGAGCAGGCAGGAGATCAGAGATGAAGATGAGTAAAACAATCCTCCAAATTCCTGTATTTCCTTGAGAAATAAATTGGAAAAGAAGTCTATTGTATAAGATACATGCAAAAACTATTTTCATTTTGAAGTCTTAACCTCAGAGAAAACTTTAATTTGTATGCGAAATGCAGTTTTTGGAATGACTTGAGTAAAAAATCGCCAAATGACTCAAGACTCTTCTCCTTTTAAATTGCACCAAAGAGGTGTCAAAACTGTTATGCGTGTTGTAACCAGAAATATATACTTTAATGCAGGGATTAGTCTTTTGCTGAAGACTTGGTCAAGGAAACTTAGTGTTTTAAAGAAATATCAGTAATGAGATCTATGAGTTTCCTGTTCGTGATGACGAATGATCACATATATATCACTGATGAGCAACAAGGGGAAACACCACTGGCCATTGTTTGGCATAGTGATACAATTCCAGGGATATCTCGTCTTTCCTCAATCACTCAACGAACAAATCATGCACAGCCAACACGTCACAGATGGCAACGATAGGTGGAGATAATTATAACAGACTAAAGATATGTCCTTTCTACATCATTGTATACACGTGTCGGTCCTTCATAGGAAATAAACAACACATTATGCAATAGTCTAGAATGTGTGGATTACAGGAGGAAAAACAGGTCACACAAAAAATACTGCATTTTGTCAATAAACCTGGAATATAGACGAGTACAATATTCATCCCAGACACAAGTACAAGTTATACAGTATTTTCAGTTCATTTAATTTGAGCAATTAAAATATAACTTTGTTAACTGTTGATCATTTGACCGCTAATACCGATACCGGTACATACACTCCTACGATGAAGGGCTACTGCCACTGATTATTTCTGATTTCAGATTTTACTGCAATTTCACCGCCAACATCGCTGTCGCCATTTCTGGTGATTTTTTTAATGACTACAACACACACTGATTATTGACATTAGATATTAATCTTCCCTGGACTTGTCCAAATGGCCCTGGGGAGTTATTTTGGCGTGTGGCACAGTTCAAAGGTCAATGTCCTGAGGTAGAAAACCTCACAAAAACGTCTGTAGTTACACTTTCTTAAAAGGAAATCCCGCATTTATCACTAAACTTGGTATATATCTTCCTCAGCATGGTGTACTGCTTTGAAATGGTTTTGGTCAAAGGTGAAGGTCAGCATTCATGGTTTTTTAAAACATGGTCACTGTCAGATTTGCCTCTACAGCAATGAAACTTTCTTAACAAATCCTACCATCCTTAGTTTGGGTTAATGTCTCTGAAAGGTCACGGTCATCTTTTGAGATTATTGTGAAACATGATTGTATTTGTGAATGACAGCTAATGTTGCAGATTTACTGGTAGTGACACTCGATGATTGTTGTAGCTTCATGAGTATCTCTTGATTACAGTCAAGTTCTGGAAGTAACGTTTTGGGACTGAAGAAGTATTGAGACCTAAGCAAGGGGCTGTTCCTGTTTTGGCAAGCACCTGCAAACACCTCCAGCTACCATCTGGCAGTGTGATTCCATGCCACACCCAGGAAGCCTTCCCCTGCGGCAGTGGTGGGACTGAATTGGTAGAAATCAAGGTCTGATTGGGCAGTGATCTGAATCAAAACATACTAAACATAGATGTAGCCTTACACTAAACACATGTTGGAACGACCTTCTAAGGTTGGGGCGTGTCCACATTTACTACCCGGGTACCCGATTCCCTATTACCCGGCCCTACCCGAGTACCCGATCCCCTATTACCCGGCCCTACCCGGGTACCTGATCCCCTATTACCCGGCCCTACCCGGGTACCTGATCCCCTATTACCCGGCCCTACCCGGGTACCCGATTCCCTATTACCCGGCCCTACCCGGGTACCTGATTCCCTATTACCTGGCCCTACCCGGGTACCTGATCCCCTATTACCCGGCCCTACCCGGGTACCTGATCCCCTATTACCCGGCCCTACCCGGGTACCTGATCCCCTATTACCCGGCCCTACCCGGGTACCTGATCCCCTATTACCCGGCCCTACCCGGGTACCCACTGCAGGTCTCAGGAGTTGGGAACAAAATGTCTGATTGGGAATTGTTTTATCGCAGCCCTGGCCAAAGCTATTTAGATATAACGATCAGTGCACTGAAGTTGACTTAAGCTTTATCTTCACTCAGACATATACGAGTCAAAAGGAATGTGTGCATCATCAGAAAGAAATGCGAATATTAGCCACTTGTGGTGTAACCACTGAGCTATAGTGAGTTTTTGTCATCAAACAATATGTCACGTGACTAACCACGGGTCCGGGTAGTCCTGTCGGTACCCGGGTCCTACTCAGGACCCACCCGACCTGAGTACCCGAGTACCCAAGCTACCCGTCCCTGCCCTACTACCTTCACACTTTTTGCATTCTTATAAAATTTAGTTTGTACTACCCCTGACGTGAAGACTTTCAAGTTCCGGGACTGAAAACTTGATTCATGAATAAAAAAAGAATCCTCTTCTAAAAGCCAGCTAAGGGCGGGTCGCGGTGCACTGGTCACATGCGGAATTCCTCAGTGAGACAGAATATCACGTTAGCTGCTTCAGCCAAGAGGCTTATGCTCCTTGTGATGTCAGCTTATTGACATATATACAAAACACTATGAGCATCCATTTATTTATCCACTTGGCACCCAGCTTCTAGAGGTTATGGCAGTCGTTGAATTGTCTCCCCTTGGGACACTTTCAGGCTAAATGTCTACATTCAGTCATCAGTTTGATCACAATATTGTGCAGAATCGGGACTGAAAATGAAAGAAAGAAGAAATATGTCAACAGTTTACAGGTCACATTCATACAACACAAACATTTGTGAGTGAATGCATGTGTGAATGCGTGAGTGAATGTGTGAATGCATGAGTAAATCTGTGAGTGAATGTGTGAATACATGAGTAAATCTGTGAGTGAATGTGTGAATGCATGAGTAAATCTGTGAGTGAATGTGTGAATGCATGAGTAAATCTGTGAGTGAATGCATGAGTAAATCTGTGAGTGAATGCATGAATAAATCTGAGAGTATGTGTGAATGCGTGTGGGATTGTGTGAATGCGTGTGTAAATCTGTGAGTGAATGTGTGAATGCATGTGAGATTGTGTGAATGCATGAGGGATTGTGTGAATGCATGAGTAAATCTGTGAATGCGTGTGGGATTGTGTGAATGCGTGAGGGATTGTGTGAATGCATGAGTAAATCTGTGAGTGAATGTGTGAATGAATGAAGGATTGTGTGAATGCAGGAATAAATGCATGAGTGAATGTGAGTGAACACAGATTGCGGTGGCACCTGGTCTTGTGTACTGCACACAGGTCACAACTCAAGTTAAGCAACATTGCCCCACACTGAATCACAGGTTACATGTGGTGTCTTCTGTTCATAATATGCCTGTTTACCCAACAGTCAATGGGTACCCAGCAGGAGCAGGTAATAATGTGACAGTAAACCTTTAACTTGTATATTTCCCAGGGAGCTGAGAATGAAATGTAAGTGCAGACTGATCCAAAGACTAATGTTTGATGCATGATTATTATTATTATTATTATTATTATAATTGCAGCACTAGGGGGCCCTTCCTGTACTCCAGTCCTGTTCTCACCTTCTTCTTGGGTGGGGGTGCTTCCTCCTTCTTCTCCTCCTGCTTTTTTTTCTCCTTCTCTCCATCCTCTGCTTTGTCCTCCTCGCCATCTTCTTCCTCGTCTTCTTCCTGCTTTCCTTTCTTTTTCTTGTCTTTGTCCTTCTTCTTATCTTTCTTGTCTTTCTTCTTGTCTTTCTTGTCTGTCTTCTCCTGGAAATGATAATTATAAAGGCTAAAGGATTTCAGTCTGGGTCTGAGGATTTTTAAGCACTTAGAACATGTCGGTTCTATATTCCCAACGACATGAGATTGTCAATCCAAATAGGAAAATGTTTCAGTTATACGTGTATAATAGTAATAATTATTATTATCACATCAATGTTATATGGCACTTTTAAAGAGATATCATACGGTCATCATCCCACAGAATTCAGTAGCCACTAGTCTGAAGACTGAGTTCAGTAAAAGTCTGTTTGGTCTTATCAATGACAGTCCATAACATTAAATCTTCCAACAATAGATGTTGAAAGGGCTAGTAGACTCAGAGTCTTATATGAAAAGTAGCCCACCAATTACCACCATAGGTATAGCCTGTTTGATCAGGATAAGTTCTGACAGTTTCACATCGGATACCATCATCACTGGTTTCACGGTGACCACTTCAACATACCTCTTCCTCCGCTTCCTCATCCTCGTCCTCTTTGCCTTTCTTCCCCTTCTTCTTGTCCTTCTTCTTATCTTTCTTTTCCTTTTCTTTTTTATCTGCAACCCAACTTTATCATTCTACACAGCCTCTAAGACGAACAGGCTACGCTATAAGAAACACCTATCAAAGCAATGGCGGTGCCACATCCGTGAACTATGCAAGGAGGTGCTACACAACACTTCAAAAGTCCTAACTCCAAAATAAATATGTTGTGATCCTGTCATTTTTGTGTTGCATTACTGCGCTGAATGAGATCACTGATTTTGTATTGTCTCCATTTTTTGTATTAATAAATAAATAATCAGTCTCCCAGATTAGTACTGGTGACCTATCTTAAATTCACTTTAATGTGTGTCCTATTCCTACTTCAAGTGAGCCCCTGATTCTTGTGTGTTAATGAATAAATAATCAGTCTGTCAGGTTAGTATTGGTGTCCTATCTTAAATTCACTGTAATGTCTGTCCTATTCCTACTTCAAGTGAACCCCTGATTCTTGTGTGTTAATGAATAAATAATCAGTCTGTCAGGTTAGTATTGGTGTCCTATCTTAAATTCACTGTAATGTCTGTCCTATTCCTACTTCAAGTGAGCCCCTGATTCTTGTGTATTAATAAATAAATAATCAGTCTCCCAGATTAGTACTGGTGACCTATCTTAAATTCACTTTAATGTGTGTCCTATTCCTACTTCAAGTGAACCCCTGATTCTTGTGTGTTAATGAATAAATAATCAGTCTGTCAGGTTAGTATTTGTGTCCTATCTTAAATTCACTGTAATGTGTGTCCTATTCCTACTTCAAGTGAGCCCCTGATTCTTGTGTGTTAATGAATAAATAATCAGTCTGTCAGGTTAGTATTGGTGTCCTATCTTAAATTCACTGTAATGTCTGTCCTATTCCTACTTCAAGTGAACCCCTGATTCTTGTGTGTTAATGAATAAATAATCAGTCTGTCAGGTTAGTATTTGTGTCCTATCTTAAATTCACTTTAATGTCTGTCCTATTCCTACTTCAAGTGAACCCCTGATTCTTGTGTGTTAATGAATAAATAATCAGTCTGTCAGGTTAGTATTGGTGTCCTATCTTAAATTCACTGTAATGTCTGTCCTATTCCTACTTCAAGTGAGCCCCTGATTCTTGTGTGTTAATGAATAAATAATCAGTCTGTCAGGTTGTTATTGGTGACCTATCTTAAATTCACTGTAATGTCTGTCCTATTCCTACTTCAAGTGAACCCCTGATTCTTGTGTGTTAATGAATAAATAATCAGTCTGTCAGGTTAGTATTGGTGTCCTATCTTAAATTCACTGTAATGTCTGTCCTATTCCTACTTCAAGTGAGCCCCTGATTCTTGTGTGTTAATGAATAAATAATCAGTCTGCCAGGTTATTATTGGTGACCTATCTTAAATTCACTGTAATGTCTGTCCTATTCCTACTTCAAGTGAGCCCCTGATTCTTGTGTGTTAATGAATAAATAATCAGTCTGTCAGGTTAGTATTTGTGTCCTATCTTAAATTCACTGTAATGTCTGTCCTATTCCTACTTCAAGTGAACCCCTGATTCTTGTGTGTTAATGAATAAATAATCAGTCTGTCAGGTTAGTATTGGTGTCCTATCTTAAATTCACTGTAATGTCTGTCCTATTCCTACTTCAAGTGAGCCCCTGATTCTTGTGTGTTAATGAATAAATAATCAGTATGTCAGGTTGTTATTGGTGACCTATCTTGAATTCACTGTAATGTCTGTCCTATTCCTACTTCAAGTGAGCCCCTGATTCTTGTGTGTTAATGAATAAATAATCAGTCTGTCAGGTTGTTATTGGTGACCTATCTTGAATTCACTGTAATGTCTGTCCTATTCCTACTTCAAGTGAACCCCTGATCTTCCGTGGCAAGAACTACAACCTTTCTTCTTCTTTCCCTTCACATCCTCCTCCTCCGCCTCCTCGTCTTTTTCTTCCTCCTCGTCATCTTCTTCATCAGCTGTTTTCTTCTTCCCAAACAGACCCACCCCCTTCTTTTTCTTCTTGTCTGAAAGAGATGCAGCCTGTCTAACTTCCACAACCAACAATAATACTAAAGATTATTACTGTATTCGACGTAATAAGCGCCTTGCTCTAATAAGCGCCCACGGCGATATTTGCAAATATATTGGCTAGTGAACAATCCCAATTAGCACCCCTTCCGATTGATCAATGTACACAAGACTTATTTATTAGTGTATAAAACGCACTCATGTGTAATATGCACCCTTAATTATGGGCAATTAAATTCTGGAAAAATATATCTGTGGTATATAAACATTTCAGGCTGTCAGCATAAACCACAACATTTACGATCTTTCAACTCTGTTTTTTTCACCAAAATAATATTCTAATTAATTAGAGGCCCCTATTTCTAATTTTGAGAGTGCCCTGGGCACTTATTATGTCAAATACAGTATGTTTCCTTTGGCTGGCTATTCCATTTTACTTTCAGAGGTTTCAACATGTGAGACCAGGGACCAATAAATGTATTTAACAGATATCATTTCATTACAGTTTACGCTCTTGCAGAGAAGTGACAGGACCTGTTATATCTGACACCTATGGACCAAACATGTACAGCAACAACACCACTCTTGGAGCACTACTGGTAACTTTAAAAACACACCTTTTTCTTTCTTCTTGTCTTTCTTGTCTTTCTTGCCCTTCTTTCCTTTCTTCTCTTCCTCTTCTTCTTCGTCTTCTTCTTCCTCTTCCTCTTCGTCTTCCTCCTCGACCTTCTTCCTGGGGGTCGGTGTGGGGCCGGGCAGGGAGCGAGGCTAAAACACCAGCAGCTCAGTCACAAGATGATCAGATCAACTATCATTGCATGTCCAGACATGTATTCGACTTGGGAGGAAACCTGTGAGCATAATCTAAGCCAATCTGGGAGTCGAACCCGTCAACAATGTATCCTGGCAGAGCAACACACCCCCACACATGTCGAGAAATAAACCTGGACATGAATACGGAAATATATTATTGAAATATGCTAAAGAATACATTGAGAATATGTTCTTGGATAACTTTAAAGAAAAGCTGTCGCGTCTATCAATTGCTATTTCCTTCTTATTAACCAAGACATGTTCCACAAGGTAATCCGTGCGATTCGTTTGTTTGCCACACTCAGCAATCTCCCAGCCATATGATGGTGGCCTGTGAACAATCGACCAGACAATCCAGTGACTGACATCATGGGCATCGATCCACAAAATTGGGATACGATGACACACAATCAACAAGTCACCGAGCCTGACCACCCGATCCATTTAGTTACCTAAAACATCGGTTGCAAGGGAACTATAATGTTTGCAAAATGACTACCAGTATCATAAGTCTGTGTCAAGAAAGGGAATTACAACAGTCACATAGCCAATATCGTTCAGTGGCAAAGGGACAACAAGTATGCATTTATATTAAAGATGTCACCCTCTTTCCTTTTCTTGTCACAATTATTGTTTTTCGAGATTTGTTTCAGAATTATCTCATTTAGTTCAGTCCATACTTACCAGTGTCTGAAAGCTGCTAAAGAAACAAAATCATGGACATACAAATTCAAAACAACAATGGAATCAAGACCGCCAAACACAGCCATGAGAAGCTACCACCATGTTAGATATCACTCAACTAGGTCAGCTACAGATTGCAACATGCAGTACGATTGCTACACAAGAATGGTGTTGGATGCACAGATGCAGTTGAAAAGATTATGTTTCAGTGTCATGAAAAAACAATACGAGTGCTGGGTGTCAAGTATATGGTGCCTGGTCAGGCATGACGTCATCAAACAGGAAAGGGAATTAATGTTATTTCATATAACGCTTGTACACTGCTGACAGTGTTTTCAGCCATCAGCCAGGATTCTGCAATCCATGTGAGTTTAAACAATTCATGGCCTTGCTCTTATATCCATGCAAAGCCAATGATTTGCAAACACATAGTGATTGTCAGACTCCTTGTAAGATTAGGAAACTGATGAGAAAAAGTGATTATTGTCCAACTGAACAGTGCAGTGCCAGTCTCAAGACTCCCCTTGATCACAGCGCAAACCAGGGGTTACTGACGAATGTGTCTATATGTCTCTAAAATCTACTCTAACATGGTTAATGCCATCTGTTATTGGTTCGATCACCTTGTTGATTATCCATTGTGCTGATCAAGCTGATACAGAATTAAGTATTTGATTTTGATGTGATGAACAGATCAAGAAGAAGTTAAAGCATAATGAGCATTTGGTGACAAACTGAAATGTTGATATTTTAACCCGGCTTAACCCAGGCTGGTGCTGTGACCAAGGATCGGATCTGACTGTGTGGTTAGTGCTGTGGTGTGCCACCCAACGCCTTACTTGGGGGTCCTCATTCTCCTTCTCATCGCTCAGCTCATCATCCCCCTCTTCCTCCACACCATTCTGAATCTCCTCCACCTTTTCCTCTTCCTCCTCGCTCCAACGATCCTCCTCCTCCTCCTTCTCCTTCCTCCGGAGCGCCTCCTCCATCCCCTGCTCCTGCTCGTCCTCCGACCCTGCCACCCCCTCGTCCTCCGAGTCCTGTAGCAACAACTAGTCTAACTGGCCAAGCTCAAGCAGTGCCATGCATGCAGGTTAGGAGCTTCCGCCATTTTGTTACACCATCGCCATGGTAACCATCAGACCAGTGGTAAATACATGCTTGTTTATGGCAACAAGGGATTGTTGTTTGGGCTGTCATTTTCCACATCATATACTTTTGTCGGTTGAATTTCAGACCTCCTTTGTACCCCCCGGTTTCTTCATCACTACCCCCAGGCCTGGACCCAGACCAGACCAGAAAGTTGGAATCAAGGTGATAAAAATCCTTTAATCTCATTCCATTTTCTTTATGTATATCAGGTTAGTATGGCCTAATCTCAGAGTTCCACACATGGCACTTATAACAACTTCTATGTCTTAATTTGATATGGCTACTGGATCTTGGAGCATAGTTTCTCTTTAAATCAGAAATTAAATGTTTGTTTACAACAAAGAGCAACAGAAAGTTTAGGTTGGGTCAGTCTGTCTGTTTGACATTATAAACTAAAGGATCAAGATTAACTCAAACTGGGTATTACTTTTGATTCTACATTTATCTTTTTTTCATCTCGCGTTAATGAGGGCAGCGAGGTAGCCAAGTGGTTAAAGCGTTTCTCATCACTCTGAAGGCCCGGGTTTGATTCCCTCTATGTGTACAATGTGTGAAGCCCATTTCTGATGCCCCTGTCGTGATACTGACGTAATATTGCCAAAAGTAACGTTAAACAAAACTCACTCACTCTTGTAAACAAATATTTTGTGTACATAAAATGTGGCTAAATTTACTTACTATCACTGCATGTTTTATGTTAGGCGAAATAAAATGAAATGGCACAAATTGTGACATCCCTTTTTTATGCGCACACAGATTTCCCAAATCTTCTCACAGTGATTCCCCATGCGTGGAGTGAGTATGGTTTTACGCCGCTTGTAGCAATATTCCAGCAATATCACATCAGAGGACACCAGAAATGGGCTTCACACATTGTACCAATGTTGGGAATCGAACCCGGGTCTTCGGCGTGACGAGCGAACGCTTCAACCACCAGGCTACCCCACCACAAATGTGTCATGTGCTGGAAATATATCCCATGACATAGACTGGTTCCTGGCAGTCTTTGCTCTGTAAAAGTCATATGATGTGTACAGAAGGATTATTTTTGTGATCTACTATGATTAGTATATATTTAGCTAACTATACAGCAGGGATTGTCCCTTATGCCTAATTAATTAGCATGACCAAGATCATATCATATACGTCCAATTTTTCAACCCGTTTTCAAAAATGAACTCAGATAAAACAAATATAGAAAATGTGCCCTCGCACCTTCTGATAGAGACACTTCCTCACAGATTGATGGGTCCTGGGTTCGTGTAATTTATGATTGAGGTCAAGGTCAAGGTCGGGGAGAAATGACTGAGTCAGCATGTTGCCATAACCAATCCTCATTTACCACTGACTTCATGGTGGATATCGTCCTAACAGAATCTGGTAATTTCACACTGATGTGATAATGCCATGGCTTGATTTCATCCATCAAGATTTCATATCATTATACAGTTTAACAGGAAGTGACATCATCTCATGTCAGGATATCAGAAAAGGACTTGACACAAAATCACTGGACTGGAAATTTAAGAGAATTGCCATAAAGAATTTTAATAATAAAGCTTTTAAAAAAAGATAAACAAAGAGTTTAAATTTTGTTTGACATACAGGAATTCTGATATGAGGCTTGTATGCGAGATGAATTCATTAAGTATTTAGATACAGCCATGTAACTCTTTAACTGCAAAGAGAACTATTCACATACCAATGTTAGTAGTCCCATTCCATCCCCACATACACACATTCATGGCATACCGGTAAATAATATCTTCAATTTGTGCATCAATTTAAAATCGAAACAATCTTTACTTGATTATCAGCCTTCAGCCCCAATTGACTTAGCAGACCAGAATGACTGAGTTAAAACTTTCGTGCTGACATGGACTTATAGATCTTCGGAATCGACAACATGTCAACCATGCTACTAAAACAATGATCAAAATACATCAGTCTGAAATATTATTGAATCTAACTTTTTCTATCATTTTAGACAATGTAATAATACAAAATTCAGTTCAAGATGCAAAACCATTTCTCTCCAACCAAACCCAAACTCTATGGACAACACTAGGCATGCAACACAGTCCTCACTACCACACCGAGCTGGAGGACACACGGTGACTACCTTGGGTTGGGGGGCCTTCGTCCTGGGAGATCCTCGGGGTAGTGGCTGGGGGGTGATTCTCTATCAGGGGGTAAGAAAGCAAGAGTGTTAAAAGGTCTATCTGTAGTCTGTGTCTAAAAGTACAGGAGTGTTCATGTACACAAACCTAGATGAGAAGAAAGTTATGGCCTCCTGTGATTGACAATAACCTGACAGAGTCAATAGCAGGATTCCTATATTAATATTCAGACTAACTGATTGTCATCCAAAATGTCCAATGTTTTAAAAACATCCTGGTGCCATTTTTTTCAAACAAAAAAACTTCAATAGAGAGAACCATATATACAAACGTACAACAAACAAGCGTATTTACTTATTTCATTGCCGCATATATTAAACCACATTCACTATTTGATATTAACATCAATTAATGGGCCATGGACTAAAATATGTCTCCAAGAGTTACCGTATTCGACGTAATAAGCGCCCCGCTCTAATAAGTGCCCACGGCTAATATATTGGGTAGGAAAATCCCAATTAGCACCCCTTCCGATTGATCAATGTACACAAGACTTATCTATTCGTGTATAATACGTGTGTTATATGCATCCTTAATTATGGGAAATTATATTCTGGAAAAATATATCTGTCGTATATAAACATTTCAGGCTGTCAGCATAAACCACGAAATTTACCGTCTTTCCACTATGTTTTTTTTTCACCGAAATTATATTCTAATAAGAGCCCCCTATTTCAAATTTTGAGAGCGCCCTGAGCGCTTATTACGTCGAATACGTTAGGGCTTATAAAGACTACAGACAGGAAGGGAATTCTGTTGCTATTGTAATTAATAGGAGGGCACTTACTGTGTCAAATAAATTCCAATTTTCACACAGAAACTGTTGATGTCAGCCGTTTCAGGATAAAGGTTTACACTATTTTAAGATTAATCAGGGAGTCTTACATACATTTTTCTTTGAAACATAAGTTAAATTTACAAATAGGTCTGCGTACATGACAACCATGACTACAAGGAAGACAACTCCTACAAACAGAAACAAGAAGAGGACTACCACTATGAACTTCAGATTGTCTAAGGTTTGCTACAAGATTTGAGGTGATGTTATGTGTGTTGAAAACTGCCTGATCCAGGAAACACTGGACATCTTGAGGTCGCCTTCAGCTGGATACAACAAGACACATATTCCTACCTTCTTCTCTTTCCCAACTTCCTCCTCGTCTTCCTCACTTTCCTCTTCTGATTCTGTCTCCTTCTTGTCTGAAGAATGGGCAAGGGTTTTATGAAGAGGGTAGGTCACAGAATACATGTATTGTGCAATGTCTTCATTAAAAGAGAAATGATTAGTTGCAGCACATACAGAACAGTTTCTAATAATTTGAAATACAAGTTAATCAGTATTTAGACAGTTTGGTGAATGTATTGGACAAAAGTCTTCCTAATTCAACCCCATCTCCTCCCTGCCCACCCCATCCGATCTTGTCTCTGCCAACCACCCCCCACCCCACCCAACCCCATCTTGTCTCTTCCCACCCCACCCAACACTATCTTGTCTCTGCCCAACCCACCCCATCCGACCCCATCTTGTTGCTTCCCGACCCAGCCCGACCCCATCTTGTCTCTTCCCACCCCATCTGACCCACTCTTGTTGTTGCCCACCCCACCCCACCCGACCCCATCTTGTTGCTGCCCACCCCAACCCACCCGACCCCATCTTGTTGCTGCCCACCCCGCCCCATCTTGTCGCTGCCCACTCCACCCATCTTCCTCCTGCCTGCTCTCACCATCTATCTTGATGCCAGGCAACATGCTCTTCTGCAGCAGATTCTCCTGGTTTTTCAAGTTGGGCAGTGTGGCATGGCCATTGAGCACTGGCAGCGTGCGGTTGTTGCCTAGTGATGGCAGCGTCCGGTTGAGTGACATCATGGGACTCGGCTGTACAAACAGGGGAAGGTAAGGCCAAAGCATCTATCATTAATACTTGATTTTTTAACCCAAGTAAAGAACAAAAAAATTACATGTCAAACATCTGCACCATTATGTCATCTCTCCAATTCATGGTTGATAAAATACAAAAAACAACAAATTGATGATGGGTGCTGGTGTCCGAATGTCCAGTCGGTCAGCATGGTCAGTAAATCTAACTTAAACATCCTCATATCCCCTGCCAGTTTGACATGTCCTGTTGTGTGCAAGGCAAGAAATATTGTACGGTTTTCAAGACCTGCTCGAGCACTACCGCCATTTTCAGTCTAAGTCAAAGTTGTTGCCATGGAAACTCTAAAAATAATTTTTCTTAAAATCCCAAACTATCAAAAGGCACCAATTCACCACTGGACCTATCTATGTGCCAAGTTTGGTTAAGATGTCTCATGGTTTTTTAGTTCTGCACCAGAAACAAAAAGTGACAGACAGACGGAGAGCTCCCATTCCTATATCCCCCTTCCACTTCGTAGCGGGGGATAATTAATACTCAAAATGTTTACCAGGGGGGTGATTTGGTGTTCAAACCAATGGATCATGGCAGACAAGGGAGACAACTCCATTGGGCCACACTGACCCCTTTTTCCTTCAAATAAAAGGCCCCAGTGACTAACCATGGTCTGCCGCCGCCGATCCCGGGCCGACGCGCTGTTGTTGAGGTCCAGCCCATTTAATGTCTGGTTCAATGTCCGGGAGGCTTCCTCAATTTCCTCTTCGATGTCAACGTCTTTATTCTCGATCCGTTTCCGTGCCGTCACGATCATGTGACAGCCTCCACAAGACACCTGGAACACAGAACACGCCAACAGTAGAGATCTCTCCTTTCCTGTAAAACCTTTCAGCCTTTCAAAAACACAACAACAGCTGGACAAACTGGCAGCACAGATTGAAGATGAAGTTAAATGGTGCTTATCATATCAAAGATTATTGCACTAATAGAGGACCCATGAAGATCCGGGGTAGAATAGGTCTTCAGCAACCCATGCTTGCCGTAAAAGGCGACTATGCTTGTCGTAAAAGGGGACTAACGGGATCGGGTGGTCAGACTCGCTGACTTGGTTGATGCATGTCATCGGTCCCAATTGCGTGGATCGATGCACATCATGTCAATCACTGGATTGTCTGGTCCAGACTCGATTATTTACAGACCGCCGTCATATAGCTGGAATATTGCTGAGTACAGCGTAAAACCACAAACAAACAAACAAAACTAATAGAGCGACTTGCATGCATGTGTTTGTGTGTATCCCACTGAGATACGATGCAACAGTTTAACATAGATACCTCACACAGACACAGTATACAGATTCTGGACCGACCAGGCCTTGACATGGGCAGGGTAACAATAATTACCATCTTTTAACATCTTTCAGCATAATGCAGATGGGGATTTGGAACCAGCGACATTCCGCTTTCTAGGCAGATGCTCTTTCCACACGGGCCCGGCGGCGGTACATGCCGAGTGAGAAGGGACACTCCATGTGATTGAACCATGCCCCTTGTGATACCCACGGTATAACGTACAAGTTGCCCCTTGTGATACCCACGGTATAACGTACAAGTTGCCCCTTGTGATACCCACAGTATAACGTACAGGTTGCCTCTTGTGATACCCATAGTATAACGTACAGGTTGCCCCTGGTGATACCCACAGTATAACGTACAGGTTGCCCCATGTGATACCCACAGTATAACGTACAGGTTGCCCCTTGTGATACCCACAGTATAACGTACAGGTTGCCCCTGGTGATACCAACAGTATAACGTACAGGTTGCCCCATGTGATACCCACAGTATAACGTACAGGTTGCCCCTTGTGATACCCACAGTATAACGTACAGGTTGCCCCATGTGATACCCACAGTATAACGTACAGGTTGCCCCTGGTGATACCCACAGTATAACGTACAGGTTGCCCCTTGTGATACCAACAGTATAACATACAGGTTGCTCCAAATGATACACACAGTATAATGTACAGGTTGCCCCTTGTGATACCCACAGTATAACGTACAGGTTGCCTCTTGTGATACCCACAGTATAACATACAGGTTGCTCCAAATGATACCCACAGTATAACGTACAGGTTGCTCCAAATGATACCCACAGTATAACGTACAGGTTGCCCCTTGTGATACCCACAGTATAACGTACAGGTTGCCCCTTGTGATACCCACAGTATAACGTACAAGTTGCCCCTTGTGATACCCACAGTATAACGTACAGGTTGCCCCTTGTGATACCCGCAGTATAACATACAGGTTGCTCCAAATGATACACACAGTATAACGTACAGGTTGCCCCTTGTGATACCCATAGTATAACGTACAGGTTGCCCCTTGTGATACCCACAGTATAACATACAGGTTGCTCCAAATGATACCCACAGTATAACGTACAGGTTGCCCCTTGTGATACCCACAGTATAACGTACAGGTTGCCCCTTGTGATACCCACAGTATAACGTACAGGTTGCCCCTTGTGATACCCACAGTATAACGTACAAGTTGCCCCTTGTGATACCCACAGTATAACGTACAGGTTGCCCCTTGTGATACCCACAGTATAACGTACAGGTTGCCCCATGTGATACCCACAGTATAACGTACAAGTTGCCCCTTGTGATACCCACAGTATAACGTACAGGTTGCCCCTTGTGATGCCCACAGTATAACGTACGGGTTGCCCCTTGTGATACCCACAGTATAACGTACAAGTTGCCCCTTGTGATACCCACAGTATAACGTACAGGTTGCCCCTTGTGATACCCACAGTATAACATACAGGTTGCTCCAAATGATACACATACACATTACATGAGCTATCCATCATACCATACAGAATGCAAAATAATACATGCAATTCCATAAATAATCAAAAACAGATAAATATATCCATGACTGATGTCTTTAATTGGTTTTGTTTGATTGTTGTTTTACGCCGCACTCAGCAACATTACAAATATATGACGGCAGTCTGTAAATAATCGAGTCTGGACCAGACAATCCAGTGATTGGGGTCATGAGCATCGATCCATGCAATTGGGATACAATGACATACATCAACCAAGTCAGCGAGCCTGACCACCCGATCCCTTAAGTCGCCTCTATGACAAGCATAGTCGCCTTTTATGGCAAGCATGGGTTGCTGACGACCTATTCTACCCCGGATCTTCACAGGTCTCTTTAATTGTAAAACTTTGATCATTTTTTGTAAACCTTTGATCATAACTTCTGCTGTCTGGGCAGATGCTCCATCCACTCGACCACCATCTAACAATTGACACTGAAGTTACAGACGTACTATGAAAGGCAGTGAACATAAAGTGAGTGAATGTTGTTTTATGCCAGAGTCGGCTACAGTCAAGCTTTATCAAGGTCGCCTGTGACTGAGTAGTTCAATCTGGGCCACGTCAATGACACCTAACGAGTAGTGACCTTCAACTCAGATGAGTTTTTGACAAATCTGAATGCACCCTAATCGGGCTCATTGGATATCATGTGACCTCTTCATATGACTTTTGTGGTAAATTGTGATGTAATGAATTTAATAAAACATCTCACCAAATTTAAAACCTTATTGCCAGTGTTTGAAGTGATGACATTTACATTGACCGTTGCGAAGAGGGACAGACGCATATTTATTAGTCCAGCTGAAAGTATCACATACATGCGCAGGCTTTAACCACTATGCCATTTCCTTATCACATTAGAAATTAGAAACTTATTATATACATATTCTTTTTCCGATAAAAAACTATAACATATTGACTTACCATTTGGACTTTGAACTTTGTAAATCTATCTATCCTACTGGGTTTGAACTGATTAGAGAAGCTCTCCTGTCCAAGACCCAATTTTCCGTGTCGACCATCGCCGCATGTATATATCTGACCACCCTCTGAAAAGTGGAAGTGAAAAACAAAATATATTTCAAAGCTTTTTCACTAACAAATCAAAGAATTTCTAAATTCTTTAAACGGAAGACCGTTTGTTTGTTAGCTGTTCAATGCTGTATGACTGGATGTAAATATTTCAGTCTGGATCAGACAATCAAGTGATCAAAATTATGATTAACAATCCATACCATCGGTAGATAATGCCACATAAAATAACATTACCCTTATAATTCAACATGTACACACAGATGTTGCCTGTTTTTCTAACATATTGGCATTTCTAGACCACATTCATGGCATTCAAGGCAACATTTCACTCAACATACCAAGTGAGGACCTTCGTCCCCTCTTCAATCTAACAGTACAGGTACCTGAGACAACAGCTGTGATGTTTTCCCCACAAGCTATATGTGCGGCCTTGAAGTCCAGTTTCAACAGGTGTGGAATGGCTGTCTGTAGAACCATGGTGCCGTGTCCCAGCTGACCGTTAGCTCCCTCCCCAAAGGTATACACTGACCCTCTCTCTGAAAGAGGAAACAAAGATGTAGAGTGGGGTGCAACACAGGAATTCTACTGGAAAAAGAATACAACATATTTATCAGATTAGGATAATTTGAAAAGCATAACTGTACTGTTTTGGTATATACAGTCAAGTCTCGTTAATCCGACACTCGTTAATCCGACAATCGGCTTTATCCGACACTAATGATGGGAACCGATTAAATCAGTGCTATTTAGACCCGTTAATCCGACAGTCTCGCACTCCGTCTCCGACACACCTAATTTGCAACGAATTACCGAAATCACTCATTAATCAGTCTCGTTAATCCGACACAGTGATAAGCGTACTCCGTGGTCATCTGCCCGCGAGTACACAGCCCGTGTTTTGATGCGAGACGAATCGGCTGGTAGCTGCATATTTCAACGGCTGCAGAGAGAAACTTGCTTAACAATAAACAATTAATGCTTTAAATAAAGAAAACAGTATAATTCACATGCTTAGATTACCTCAATCTTATTAAAATCAGATACAAGTTCTCGCTATCGACGAGGGCATCCCATTACAAGTCACGTCAGAACAACCTTTCGCGAACTATGACCTACCAATGAAATGACCAACAGGATGTCGACGTTAGCCACTTAGAAAGCAGCTTTCTTAAGCTTTGGGTACCAGTTTCAAAGTTGCGACTTCCATTCCAGACTATGCTTTTTAAAGTATTTTGAATCGGTCATACAGTCTGTAACAGTTGTTTTGCGTTAAACTTTAGAGGTTGCATGATTAGAAAACATATTTCGCCAACAATGTAACATAACAATATGAATATTTATTTTATGTTTTTTATTACGTGTTTGAATCCTTATATATCGTGTAGTTGTCCGTTTTTCGATCACGAACGTTGATACTACTAAATTTCGTTTATCCGACATACTCGTTAATCCGACATAATCATATGCAACCATCGATGTCGGATTAACGGGACTTGACTGAAGTACTGTAGGTCAGACTCACTTTTCAAAATTTGACAAGAAACAGACCTCTCCAAACTCTTTATTTTCAGTTATCAACCCATTCGTATTTAATAGGCCATATTCTCTGTGTAAACAGTAAACATTAACAGTTAATATGATGGAGTATATTAAACAATGTTAACCAACAGACATTTTGAAAGTTAAATAAGTGCCGAAGAAGGGAAAACTTGCTAATGGTCAAAGGGAGACAACTCATTAAAAGAATTCTAATTTGCTCAATTGCTTGTAGCATAGATATTTGTTCATAAATAGAGCATTATACCAAACTGTCTGGTAACCATGACAACAGACCTGTGAGTACAGCTGTGTGTGACCCCCCACAGGCCACCCACTTGACTTTCTCTGTGATGGAAGACACGTGTTGGGGGGTGGCGTATTCAGCAGGGCTGTCCCCCAGGCCAAGCTTACCATTCTCCGTCTCACCGAATGTGTACAAGTAACCGTTCTCTGGCAACAGAAACAGAATACTTAGGAGCGAGCCAAAGCTATTACTCAAGTGTTACCATGGTTACAGGCAAACTTCAACCTCCATGAATTATTGCACTTCTATGGTTATGCTGAATGCAAGCATATACAAAATATTATATTTTTTCAGGTACATGCATGCATATATATTACAACTGAATTTGTCAAAACCAAATATTTATATTTGTTTGATTCTGTATGGATTAAGTAACACGTAAAGCCAAAAAAAATGGCTTCTCATCAGTTGTTTATTTCTGTTCAAAATAATACAGTCACAAGGTGTTTCCCCTTATTTCTCAAAAGGCCCCAAATTACTGATAATACAAACCTTTCAGCAAATTGAAGCAAATAATTCCCAAGCTCTTTCATTAAAATACAAATGATCTTCAAATTCATAGACCTAATATTAAAACCAGTTTTTTACTGAAAATAAACAAAACTTATTGATCACCCTGAAAAAAATCTCTTACAGTAAGAAATATTTATTTTACCATTTGTATCTGAACTACAACACAGCAAACATATCCCTCACATTATTTAAGAAAATGATGAAAGTGTCGTATACAACTAGAACAGTATGGCTAGCCTGGCCCACAATAAGCAGTGCATGTACAAGGCTGCAGTGTGTGTGACAACAAACGTGGCCTCACCTGTGACAAGGGCTGTGTGGTAGTAGCCGCATGCTATACACACAACATTCTCCTCAAACGGAAGCTCCCTCGGGGTGGGGACCTCTGTGTCATGCCCCAGGCCCAGCTGGCCCTCGCCCCCACCACCCCACACAAACACCCGGCCGTCCTCTGCAACAAACATACAGCCACTGTCACATTACACTCAACTATTGCATGGATACTGTCACACAAAACTGTTTCTTGCTTCCTGTACAGTTTCGTGGTGAGGAGAGAGAGGTGACAACAACAACCGGTTTCTTTGAATTCCTGCCTTAATGTGTGGAGAGATCGAGTGATCCGGTTACATCAATAATGTATTCCAACAACTAATCACATTGATATGACTCTTACAGCAACACCTTACATTTCCCATCACTGTCTCAATCCCAAATTTGGTTCTGGTTTCACACTTAGAGATTTTTTTTCTTTTAAATTTTCACATATTGCAATCTCATTAAAATCAGATCTTAGTTCTCGCTACTGCTAAAGAAAGATCTGAAGACATTCCATTAGGGGTCACATCAGAACGACCTTTCATCCGACCAATCAGTGCATCGCTTACCATCTGATTGGTCATTCCATTGGTCGGTCAAAGTTCGCGCAAGGTCGGTCTGACGTGACCCGCAATGGGATGTCCTTAGATCTTTGTTTAGCGGCAACGAGAACTAAGATCTGATTTTAATGAGATTGCACTTATTGATGTAGCCCATCATAATAATTGACAATGAAAAGTGATGGCAATAGTTTTTTTATTTTCTAACAAGGCCTAATAAACCTACTCTCTACTTGTGTAGAGCAATGTTTTCAAAATTTACAGTTATTGATTTAGTTTTGAAAAGGCTAAGCAATCAAAATATATAATGTTGATTAAATTTCTAACTTCCCCAAATTCAACCATACCCCTTCTTTAAGAAAGGGATGAGAAACAGTAATACTTTTAACATGGCCTAAAGATGAATACAATCAATGTATATTGGAATAGCAATCATATTGTACAACTATAAAGTAAGATTTAAACTGGTATTCAGTACTGAATATGTATCACAGCCTTTTTAAACATTTCAAATAGATCTGATGGTTTCAAATAATTTTAGTTATCAACAAAATTACATTTTTTACAAGTCTTAATCTCTGTGTAAACATTAGCAAACTTTAACAGTAAACATGGTGGGGTTTAGAAAATAAAGTTTACAAGTGGACATTTTGCAAGTTCAATCAATGTCTTCTGAAAGAAAGGGGAAAAAAAAAATCATTGATGATCAAAGGGAGATAATTCATGAAAAAATGTTCTATTTTTTACCAAACTGACAACATGATCATGGATGTCCTTCTTTATGAACAATATGATACATAAATGAAAAAAACCCAGCTTGGACACAAGTGGAATATCTGGAAGCTCCCTGGGGTGAGGATTGGACATGACCCATGCCGTCACCCAACGGCCCATAGCAGAAGCAATCGTAACTGTCAGGAGACACTGAGTATACTGATGCATGTGTGCACTGATCCTGGCCATTGCATCGTGACAACACACCACAAACAAGGTCACACATCATAGCCACTCTTCAACAACACTATACTCTGATGTAGTCATCTGCCTACCTGTGAGTGCCACGGAGTGTTCCACACCTGCCCCCAGCATACTGTATGGCACGGCATCTAGCGAGTCTATATGGCGGGGTATATTGCCTACCTGTGAGAGCCATGGAGTGTTCCACACCTGCCCCCAGCATACTCTACGGCATGGCTTCTAGCCAGTCTATATGGCAGGGTATATTGCCTACCTGTGAGTGCCATGGAGTGTTCCACACCTTCCCCCAGCATACTGTATGGCACGGCGTCTAGCGAGTCTATATGGCGGGGTATATTGCCTACCTGTGAGTGCCACGGAGTGTTCCACTCCTGCCCCCAGCATACTGTACGGCATGGCGTCTAGTGAGTCTATATGGCGGGGTATATTGCCTACCTGTGAGTGCCACAGAGTGTTCCACACCTTCCCCCAGCATACTGTACGGCATGGCATCTAGTGAGTCTATATGGCGGGGTATATTGCCTACCTGTGAGTGCCACAGAGTGTTCCACACCTTCCCCCAGCATACTGTACGGCATGGCATCTAGTGAGTCTATATGGCGGGGTATATTGCCTACCTGTGAGTGCCATGGAGTGTTCCACTCCTGCCCCCAGCATACTGTACGGCATGGCATCTAGCGAGTCTATAGGGCGGGATATATTGCCTACCTGTGAGTGCCACGGAGTGTTCCACACCTGCCCCCAGCATACTGTATGGCACGGCGTCTAGCGAGTCTATATGGCGGGGTATATTGCCTACCTGTGAGTGCCACGGAGTGTTCCACACCTGCCCCCAGCATACTGTACGGCACGGCATCTAGCGAGTCTATATGGCGGGGTATATTAGCATCATTTATATCCTCTATTCCCAGCTGTCCCTCTCCATTAGCACCAAAGGTAAAGAGTTTACCAGACTCTGAAACAGGAATTGAATAATGAACAACTTTAACATCTTAACTTTAAAACATCTTAAACTATGGGTGAGTGAGTGAGTGAGTGAATTAGGTTTAATCCCGTTTTTAACAATGTTCCAGTTACATAACGGTGTGTCAGCTTGATGAGGGAGGAAAACCTGAAAGGATGCAGGTCTCAGATGCTTACCACTTTGGTGAAACCAACGATCATGGTATGGTACTGACGAACCTTGAAACTTAATTGGGTGAATCATGTTTCTGGCATGCCCAAGGGAGGCAACTCTGCACAGTGAATTAAGGTGCATTGGACAATTGGGCCACCGGTGCTCCCTCTTAAACCTTGACTAAGAGATGCTGTTCAACATGTTGAACAACAAGACATTGTGTTGTAACAAATAAACTATTCACCCCCATCAAAGACATTAAATGCTTTGAGCACCTGCAATTTAAAATAGCAATCAACCACCTTGCTGAACATTCTTGCAATGATCGTAAAAGAAGAAGCATGATTTAGTCTGGAGTCTAACTAAATGGATACCCACAGGAGATCGAGGAAAATTATGGCTTCCAGACTTGGGTTATAGTTTAGGTCTCTTGGAAGCTTCATCACTTGGTTAATAGATTTTCTTTCCAACACTGAACATTGCTGAAGAGTCATTGAGGGTTGGGGTAAAAAGTTATCAAAAATAAATTTTCAAGTTACTTATAAACATTTTTTTCCTGGTGAAATATGATGAATGACAAAATGTGTTCTTTATTTTTTAAATAAAAGGGTTACTATACTTCCAATTTTATTTACTAAAAATATATACCAACTTGTATTGCTCCAAGTCTATTGGTGAATGATTCCACCAATATGCCACAATCCAGAGTTTCAGATTGGTGAGAATACACGTAACATGACACCATTACCTGGACACTACCATTCTGCAAGTGTCATCACGAGTCAATGACGAAGCATCAAGAGTGTACCCGGGTAAACCTACCTGTTGCAATTATTGAATGATTCCTTCCACAAGCCACTAGTTTCAACTTTTCGGTTTTTAATGCTGTAACAGAAAATTCATTACAATATATTGAATACAGAGTATAACTGACTACAGAGCTGGACATTCTTAAAGATTTAAATAGTAATCAGAATTAATAAATTACAAATAAAGGTAATATAAATTATCTCAGAAATGAAACACTTTCAAGATACTCAGATAACTTAATGTTACTATGGTAACATGTATGTTATTTTCAAACATAAGACTTTCCTCCTAATAAATCACAAAGTTTGGACATGACTTTTCAATTTTAAACGGACAGTGACGACACTGAACCTACATTTAATACAGCTAGGTTTGTTGGCAGTCTTAACATCAGGCAGGCCGAGCTGGCCCCAGTTGTTGGTGCCGAACATAAAGATACGACCACTACCTGCAAGGAAAAGAAACAGTGCTCACATGATCGCAAACAACAATGAAGAATGAAGCGTGGTTCATTTCATGAAAAAAAAACATGACGTCATTTCTGGAGATTCAAACATGTGCTTGCAATGTTGATGAGTACCGGGTAGGATGAGATGGTAAGTTGAATGTCAACCTTCTAGCACCCCAGGGAGCTGAGAATGAAAATCTAGTGCACACTGATCCACTTACTGGAGTAATAATACTGGAGTGGAATTTGGCACATTATATAAATGGACTTATTTTTTTAATTAGAATTCGATTTCTTCGGTCACATCCAATGGGGCAAAAATGGTTTTGTGTAGTCTTTCCATCACCTGCATGTTGAGCAAACTTGTCTGCTCATATCACAAACATCAATATTTTCTTAACATTTTTCACATGAATAACAATAAACATTTAGTTCATGCAGAATATATACTCTGAGTTGAGTCCTAGTGACTGACTAACTTTAACTTGTCTGACCGGTCAGTATTACTGAACATCATGTACACGGGCGTTTGGCAATGGTAATTTAAACACCCTGTGATGGTCTGGCGTCTCAACCACCTTGGCAACATCGTGGGCATTCTGAGATAGAATAGGTCCCCAGCAACCCATCCTGGTTGTAAGACGCGACAAATAAATCGGAGCACAGGTTTCAAGTCATCACATGTCAGTCACATGGGGGCATGGGTGGCCCAGTCATCTGAGGTGCCGCAATTCGCTGTGCAGAGTTGCGTCCCTTGGGCACGCCAGAAACCTATGATTGTGGGTTCAAATCCCGGTTCGCCCCGATTATGTTTCTAGGTTTGTCAGCACCATACCCGTGCTCGTGGGTCTCATCGAAGTAGTAAACGTCTGAGACCTGCATCACTTCGGGCTTTCCTCCTACATTAAGCTGACACGCCGTGATATAACTGGAATAATGTTAAAAGTGGCGTTAAACCCAACTCACTCACTCAATCAAAAACACATATTGCCTGCATGTCTATTGATACTTGAATGTAAGTAGTCACAGAAAACTTACTTGTAATAAGGGCAGTATGTTCATCTCCACATTCAATCTGTAAAACTTTGTCATTTTTAACCCAAAACTTGTTGGGTAAATTATCTGCAAAGTAGCTCTTCCCGAATGTGAAAACTGCCCCAGTTTCTGTAAATAGAAAACAATAATGAATCTAGTATTCAACTAAAATAACTACATAGAAATGATCAAGGTTACTTCTGATCAATATAGGAAAGACCTCTACTTTGATGTCTGGAATCTTTTGTAGCACAAATAGTGAAAGTGAAACAGGTGCCCTTACTGGCTTCCATTATCATCAAAAAGCAAAGTTTCATTTTAACATGATTAGTAATTTGAGGCAAATAACAAGTCAAGTTTGTTGTTTAATGCCGCACTCAGCAATCGATCCACGGAATTGGGATACAATGACTTTCATCCACCAAGTCAGCGAGTCTGACCACCCGATCCCGTAAGTCACCCTTTGTGAAAAGCAGTCGCCTTTTCAGGGTTAGAAACTAACAGTTTTTGTCCACTAGTCCTTATAATGATAACATATAGCAAAACCCTTAAAATGGGTCAATTTCTACTAGTCCTTAGGATACCTTTACTATTGGGCAGTTTGGTAAGGACTACAGGACTAGTGCCAATTTCTAACGCTGCTTTTATGCAAGCATGGGTCGCTGAAGACCTATTCTACCCCGGATCTTCAGGGGTATATAAACAAAGCAATCTCAGTGCAGGTAGAGTGTGCTCCTCAATCAACATTAAAGCGGAATGGTTTCCCTGAATTTCTGGACAATTATTTCTGCTACAATACAAATATTGTATCCTAAGGCCATACATATTAACCAGAAGACATTTAGGTCATTGGTGGGAACAAGTATGTGAATTGTTTTCTTCATAGTTTAATGGTTTCTGAGCATGTTTATGGCAAACAACGGTCGACATGGGACAAACAGATCGTGACATTAGCTCACTTGACTTATAGTCAGGCGAATTACAAAATCAAATGCTAGTTTCTGATAGTATACCAAACATGTAAAAGAAATCTCAAGTCAAAAAGAGGTTTTGATGCAGTTATAGAAGGAAATAATTATGCTCCTTTAATGCTTGTCATATTTTATTTTTGGATGACCATTTTTTTTCAGGACCATCCCTCAAAACACAAAATGTAAAATATTATAAAAGGTCAATTTTCTCATGACCCTCCCCAAAATTGTGCCTTATTTTTTATGACCCTCAATTACAGACTGTCATATTTTTGGGTCACCTTCCACTGATTCCCTCCCTTCACCACAAAAAATTGAAATCCCCCAATATGTATCTAGTCAGTGTATTGGAACGAAGCACACCTATAATCACCGCCTTGCCAATGCAATATTCAACATGTTTCATCGATAAACTATTTATGAGCATACATCACATTGTATGTGCCCTTGCGATTTAGCATCCACTTCATTCCAATGTCAAATGCAAAGAAGCCGAGGTACAAGTGATGAATCAGAGGTATCCACAGTTTCTGGTATTTAACGGTTTGTTCGCCACTTGCAAGTACGGTCATGTATTTGTGTTAATTTCCAAGTTCGCTGTTTAGAAACAATCGCCATGACAATTGCTCATTTTTGGTCACAGAAACAGGACGGCTGTTCTCCAAGTATGAGAATTAGATGAAACATTCTGCCCAGACATCAGAGACAAAGCACACGGATCAAAAGCTAGATAATCCACTGTTAAAACGAAGATCATCACAATCACATACACTGACTTTTGACAGCACTTTCGCGCTTCGTCATTTCTGTTTTATTTATACACCTACTTACAGATTTAAACACACCCACATATTCACAAGTATATCAGTACATATTCCCACAATATTTTAATTGAAAATGACCAACACACTATACGAAAACATCAGTAATGTTACCTACCAGGGATATCCGAGTCGTCAATCGACGCCATGTTCGTAACCTAAACAACTTCCAGAAAAGCCCGGATGGAGCACCTGCTACTTCCGTTTTTCCCACGTGCGTTTGTTTACAACGGTCCGCGCAACTGAGGCGGGTCCATATTGAGCAAGTGTGTATTTCTAATACCATAAAAGTAAAATATCGAGCATAATGATAACTTAACCCAATGGCAATTTAAACGCATTTCAAAATCATGATTTCTGTAAATATAATGTTTTGCATTCTGCATATAATACATAATATGATATGATATAAATCTTTATAACACGATGATTTAAAAAAAACCCCAAAAACATGAATGTTCTTCAAACGCCTTTACAAAATGTGTAAAATCGCAAGGACTCTAGATTAGGATCAATATTTTCCGTGAGTAGTGATGGCCATTTGTAATACATTACCACAAGCTGTAGCTGGTAACGAGAAAACAAGTTGTGTATTGATACTCGGATCGATTGTCACCACCCTAGTTACGAGCAGCGTTAGAAACTCGCATAACACAATAACACCAGTTTTAACGAAGGAGTGTTTTCCTCGAGGCTTTGAACATATAGTTTGTTGTCATGTGTTGCTCCCGTTTACATCGTGACTTCGATGGGGTTGATAATGTCCTGTGAGCTTCGAAGTATTATTTGTCAAATATAACGTAGTAAGTCACAAAGTAAAACCGATTTTTGGGCAGATTTTATACCCAAGGCCCGTTTCACAAAGTGATCTCAATACTTGTTTACCGCCCATACCTCAACACTGACTCGCGACAGTGCTATCGCTATATGAAGCAGGACGTACACTTCAATCTCACGTTGATATTTAATCAATAAAATTATTGGAATAATCAATTACTTGATTAGATTACAATTTATATTATTACTTTATAATGTTTACTTAAGGAATCAGTGCAAACATGTTGTGAATGTGAGTGTGAGTGAGTGAGTGTCAATTCTGACTTCTAATAACCATACTTCTTCACAAAAACCGCTAGCGTTCATTACCAGTATCCCTCTCCAAATTGTTTATTCACTGCAAACTGAAAGGCCATAGGCCCATTGTTCAACGTATTTATAAGGTATGCGTGTTTCTTACCAGTATCGACCCGTGAAGATTCCGGAGTAGAATAGGTCTTAAGCAACCCATGCTTGCCGTAAAAGGCGACTATGCTTGTCGTAAAAGGCGACTAACGGGATCGGGTGGTCAGGCTCGCTGACTTGGTTGATACATGTCATCGATCCCAATTGCGTGGATCGATGCTCATAACCTCAATCACTGGATTGTCTGGTCCAGACTCGATTATTTACAGACCGCCGTCATATAGCTGAAATATTGCTACAACAAACCAAACCAAAGCCAAAATCTTACCAGTATCATAACCCATAAACTTTATTCGAAATGCGGCCTGTTTTCACAAAGTCTTTGTATCTCTTTGTGCAACTCTGATCAGGCGTTACCCTGGCTGCCTCACCAATCCTGTAAACAGGAACTCATGAATAAAACACATATTAATTACAAAACAGGAAAGAAAGAGGACTCAGAGTAACAGGCTCACAACGATAGGTGAATACAAAGGGCAAGGAGTGGCCATTATATACATGGGTAGGGGGATAAACAACATCATTTATTATGTTGTAACTCGTTTGGTCTTGCTGCAGGTATGCTGATGGCTGTAGGTGTGTAAATTCGTAACCCAAACAAATTCGTAACTCAAGGAATTAAAAACATTCGTACCCCAAATCGAAAGTAATTTCGTAACCCATAAGCAATAACTTACGTTATATAGCAAATTAATTTGGATTTAGATCTAAACAATCTATAATGTAAATGTATATGGGCGATATCTCATTGAACAAGAACATGTTATTTTTTCTGTTGATCAAAGCTAATCTTTAAGAGAACACTGTTTCAAGTGGCATGACTTATATTCTCCTTGATCCAAGTAGCAGTTCAGATGGAAATGCGTATTTAACAAAACTACCAGGTAAAGGTATATAAAGTGATGATTTCATCAGATATATAGAGGTTATCAAGCGTGATAACCTCTTTATCACTTAATGTCAATCTTTAATTCTGTGCTTCAAAATCGCTTTCCCTCTCTCATAAACATTACCGAAACATTGCGAGTTTTCCTGGAATGCGCGCATTAATATATTACGTCACAGGGTAAGTGATGTGTCAGTCGGACAGTGACAGTAGCCAATATAGTTCCAACTGAAATCTGTTTCTTAAACAGTGGCGAAGCAACATATACGCAAAACAACAATTGTTTTTAATTGCCTTTCGCGGCAATCTATCGGTCTGTCCGCTAGAGTAACTGCCCTTTGTCAAAGGGAAGCTACTCTAACCCTAGTCTATGAGACGTCACGACCACGGTCAGACGTTGTTGACAGTCGGTCTGTCCTGTCATAACGTTAAGCAGTGTAGTCAGATGTACGCACAGCGACAAAACGAAACAAGGTAACAATTCAAACATATTTCGGCCAAATCCAACTATTTTTATTTGTGGAGAAGGTTTCAAGCCGCAGAGGTCTACAAGCACAGATATGGCTACTGATCCCGCTTGGCTAGGCCTCGTGCCCTCGCAAAATTGTTTCTCCAAAGTTGCCAAAACTTATAAAATGCCTTCGCTACGTCACAGTTAGACACTAATTTTCAGTATATTAGACTGTTCTTTTGATAATGATAGCAATTATCTCTGTAGTTTATCCAGATACCCGATGGTTAATTCTGACTCGATCGCCGAATGACAAGGGCGACGCCATGTTTGTTTATAAACAGTGAAAGTAGTCCCTACTTGACCTTTGATATTTGCATCTCTATCCGCATATGACCCCAACGGATATCGTTTTTATCCGTTGGCTTTATCCTGCCGAAAAACCTACCCATTATATGATAAATGATGGTATTGTAAGTTAAATTTATTTCGTAAATGTTCTACTCACTTCAATTTCTTGTTCTTTAAAGAAGCCATAAAATGTTTAAACACCTTTGTGATTTGAAGCAGCAGTCATTTCGAAATAAAGGCTGCAGTTCAAGGAGACTGAAACATTTTGGGAATTAATTAAGTGATTGTCCAATAGAACCTTTACTGAAAACAGCAGCTCCAAAGATTTGGGAGAATTATTTTATCAATTTATACAGTGGTGAAAACCAAGAAAACCATTGTTTAAGAATGGTAATGTAAATTATCCAAATAATAACAGAGGTATCACACTGTTAGATGTTATGAGTAAGATATGTATATGTATTCTTAAAAGAGATGAGATAAAGTTGTAAAGGCAAGGAATAGAGTTTGAGAAAACCAGGGTTGTTTTAGAAAGGGGCATTCTACGGTAGATAATTGTTACATCCTTCAAGCACTTGTCACAAAATATTTCACTCGGAAAAAGGGTAAATTCAATGTGGCTTTTATTGGTTTTCGAAAAGCATTTGATCTCGTAAACAAGAAAAGTCGTTATATGTTTTATTACAAAATGGAATTCCTGGGAAATTATATAAGATTATTAAGAATATGTATGATCATGTGAAGTCTACAGTTATACTAGGGAGTAAGAAACTTTTTTCAGATTTTTTTACTCGCTCTTCTGGTGTCCGCCAGGGTTGACCGCTCGGTCCATTGTTGTTCTCGATTTTAAAATTGGTGGAATACATATGTATGTCCTTGCAGGACGGGACCTTTATATCTGAAAAAAATGTTCAGCATCCTAGCATTATTATTTACAGATGATCTACTCTAAGTGACAGATATCCCCATGTATCGAGAACGTTTGGCGCTATATTGGAAGTGGGCATTTGCGTAAAATAGCAGTGGACCCTTTCGACAGTGGACTCTGTGTGGGCCGTATGATGGTACATGGGCTAATTAATAATTAGTTTGACAGGGCGCTGTAGGCTGTCATGCCTGATTGATCGAAAACTGGTGAGTCGACATGCATTCATCCACTCAAATATGACTAGGCCAAAACGTTCTGCATATGCACTTAACCTCCTCACCGTCACTCTCATTCGTGTCCCCAACACTATTGTAAGTTAAGCATGCCATATAATTCGAATGATTAATTGCTTGAAGAAATGAAGCGCAATCTCCGGACGACATTTCATTGCTATTTCTGACGGCTAAACTTTGTCAAAGTCATGGCTAAACATTGTCAAAGTTTTTGACGGCATGTTACACTATCAAAAACTTGGTCAAAGTGGACTTTAACAAAGATTTTGATCAAAGTCTTTGATAGTATAACGGGGGCGGTAAATGTGTTGAAATACATACTTGAAGCCCCCGTTGCACTATCAAAAACTTTCATCAAAAACTTGGTCAAAGTCCATTTTGTCCAAGTTTTTGATAGTGTTACATGCTGTTTTTGACGGACTTTGATGGAATAGAAACCGATCCCATTTCTGGTCAAACTTTGATCAAAGTTTGATGACGTTCATTTAATTTAGCCAATCAGAATGCAAGGAACATTTACCCTTTTTCAACCGGAAGTGCATAGAGTCAAGTCAAAATGAGCCAACTATTTCGGACTGACGAGATGTTTGAAGAATTACTAGTAATTGATTTGGTTCAACAACGAGCAACCATTCTCGGAACCAAATATGCCTTTGCCTACCCCGACGCCGCCTTCTCAACAAGGCAATACACAAAATACACATAACAACAGCAAAACATTCTTTGTCAGTAGCATCCATCTTGGCAAGATAATTCCCACCAAAACTTTGACGGCCTGTCAAAAACTTTGATGAGTGTAAACAGCCCAACTTGGACCAAGAAAACTTTGTTAAAGTTTTTTTTTGGACCAAGTTTTGGATCAAAGTTGTTGATAGTGTAACGAGGGCTTGAGTATACTTGTCACGTGAACGCGTTTACTCATGTGTGCATATTTACACCATGAGCAAAATTGCATCATGTCTGGAGCAGGTGCAAATTTAAATGTAAATTTGCACTGTGTGTATATGTTGCAATGTTAACGTTTATGCCAACGTCAGAGGACGATCGAATTAATATACTCAAGGCCAATTAGAAACGTGAACCATAGAAACATATAGAG